GGGGAGATTAATTATATAAGAAATGATCGTCGACAGCCTCAGGTCTAATCGATAACCGAGGAGGGAGAAAGAGAGCAAGCGTGCATGAATGGCCTCGAGATTTGCCGAGTGTGTAAAATAAAATTACGCTAAACGTCATCATTATTTCTTCATTGAAATTGTGCAATTCGACATGAATAAGATTTCGTATGAAGTGCAGTTGTCACTGACAGACTTTAGATACACATCAAAGGTGAACACATCATTTCTCCCTTTCTGCAAGGAAAATCATTTTAAAATACATTTGACATTTGAATCAGTGTGTCGCTGCGTGTATTAGATGTTGGAGTATACTCGACCGTCGGTCAGCTTCTGTCTGTCCTTTCCTCTTTTCTTCTTTTTTTTCTATTTCTATAGATACAATCGCACTGAGAGTAGTATTATGAGAGACAGAGAGAGAAAGGAAATTTGATGATGATGATGATGATGATGATGATGATGTCTGTTCTTTGGCATCGAATGTGTGTAGAGAGGAGAGAAAGAAAAGGAAGAAAAGGGATGAGAAAGCTCAAAAATCAGTAGTAGAAGAACAAATAACGAACGTTATCATTTTCTTTTTATTCTAGTCTATCGTCATAGACCATGATTGATAAGTTTTTCTTCGTTTACGTGTTTACTATTTATCCAATTGTTCAAACGGTTAAAGAAGGTGAACACATTCATCGGAATCTCTATCTCACTTTCATTTTCTGCTTTTTCTTCTAGTTGTTATCCTAGATACACGTGAAGCGCGAGATTACCTGAATTGGTATAAGATGTCTGGCAATGGAAATCTAAACGATGGCTGGGGCGAATTAAGTTTCGAAGCGAAAATGTTTCCGACGCTCTTGTTATCATCATCGACATCCACCTTATGGCGAACACAGTATGTATGTGATATAACATCGGAACGTCGAGTCGATAATTGGTTGCGTTCGCCGTACTTCAAACGTCAACAGGCTCAACGGATTGAGATCGAATTAGGCTTTTCCATTCGTGATTGTTCGACATTTCAAACACCGAATGAAATCCGTTCCTGCCGAGAAACTTTCGAACTTTATATACATGAGAACGATCAGGATTATGATAATCATCTTTGGTCGTCGTATAAACTCGTGGATATTATCGCCGGAAACCGTTTTACCTCGAATAACTACGGCAGTCAATCAGTAGCGAATCGAAACAATCTCACTGTGAATGTGAAAACACGTGGCATATCGATAACGAAAAATGGCTTCTACATAGCTTTCCGTGACCAAGGTGCTTGCATATCACTATTATATGTCAAAATATTCTATCGTTTATGTGAAGAAAAGTCCATCGGTCTCATACATTTTCCTGAAACGCCAACGGGCGCATATTTAACAGACATTGTTGAACGCGATGGCATATGTTCAATCAACTCGAAGATGATTCGCAAGCCGTTAGGTTTCTGCAAAGGCAACGGCGAGTGGACATTTCAAGAAACGTCCTTACACGATAGCTGCCATTGTCAACAGGGTTATGAATTACTTATTGATAGCAATTCCAAGAATAATAGCCTTTTATCTCGTGCCATTTGTAAGGGTATGTAAAGAAACTGTTCGATTAGAACTAATGAAATTTGTTCCGATGATTTTTTTTGATTGAGTTATTCCATATAATAACTAGCTGGAACTTGTTAGGATGAAGATTTTTCTATCCTTGAGAGACGCATCTTTCATATTTGTATGACAATAACCTTGTACGCTATCGACTACAATGCATGCTATTGTATGTTCAATACTTGTAATTAACTTTGACGATCGCCTTGTTCATTTCACAGAAGAATGAAAATAATCGTTCAATGTGTCGCATACCTTTTCATCTCGATGATTCTTTCATGCTACATTAACTTAATCATCTCATTAGATTTTCTCTTCGACTTTTACTTTAGTTTGTTCTCTTGGAACGTTCAAATCCACGGTTAGTAATGAACAACGTTGCGAACAGTGTCCATTGAATAGCCATACGAAAGAGAAAGGTTCAACGTCTTGCATTTGCAATCAAGATTTCTTTCGCTTGAACTCGTCCGTTATCAATTCATCGTGTATCGGTAAGCGATAGTCTTGTGTCTTAATACGATATTGGAACTATTTTATTGAATATAAATATAGCCCGACCAAATGAACCAGAAAATGTAACGATTGATGATATTGATCAAGTTTCAGTTTATATCTCATGGAAGCAGTCCACTGATAATGTATACCATATTGAATGCACTCATACGATATCTTGTGAGTCGTATATAATCTATCAGCCCAATCGAACATTTGTCAATGGGTCAAGGTAAGGCGTGTTTGAAGTTTTCGATGATGTCTTCGAGAAGAAAACTTTCAGAGTAAAGATCATTGGTTTGGACGCCGACACGAAATATAAAATAAGAATTTATGCTGAACAAGTTTCCACTCATCTTTACAGTCAATCGGTTGACTTATCATTCACAACAAAATCAGCTGGTATTGTGAACTTAATTGTTATCTCTTCTCAGGAGACAAACTGAATCTTTGTAGTTTCAAAACAAGTTCGTAATATTCAAATTCGTCGTACAGCATTCGATCAAGTTGTTATCACATGGTCAGCCGATGATTTTGATCAATACCATATTCGTTACTGGCCACTCATCGCTGAACAGAATAAGATGTTTGCTGAAGTCGCAGTCAATAATTTCACCTTAAAAACAACGTCAGACATATATAAATTTCAAATACGTGCTCACACAAAACTTGGCTGGACTGCATATAGCGAAGAAATGATTATATCATTACGTTCAATATTCATCGATCAGCCGTTCTCTTCGGAAGTGACGAGAAAACTTGTGGAAAATAAAAATATTCTTCTCATCAGTCCTTTGATCATTCTTGGATTGATTATAACAGTGATTATTCTAGCAGTTCTGTACATCAAAAAGTAAGAAAACGATTCACAAATGAATGGAATATGCATTATCTTTTTAGAAAACGAGTTTGTCGATCGAAGACAGCGAGCGATTGTGAATCTCTCGATTACCAAAAACGACAAGGTTCGTATCACAGTGTATCACTATCCTCTATTGTCCTTCTCTTTAGTTAGCGGACATTATGGGCCTGATACTTTCTTCAATTCAGGATGTACGTATCCAATATGAAAGATTATCACATCTATATCTTACTCGGATTCATTTCAGGGTCGGCGCCATTGTGGCCTTCCATAAGTACAACAACAAAGACTTATGTTGATCCTCATACGGTCTGTATTCTAACTTCATTGACGCAATTTCATCTAATCCTATTTCTCTTTTTTTTTCAGTACGAAGATCCGACAAAAGCAGTGAATGATTTCGCACATGAACTCGATCCGAACTCGATTGTTATCGAATCGGTCATCGGCGGAGGTATATATTAACTTGAATTACGTTCGATTATATAACTGACTTCGTTTCTCTCATACTCGATCGTCTATTGTGAGAGAATCATCACATCATAGATCATCTTACATGTGTATACATCATCATCAATTTTCTATGTTTTCTCTTTCTTCTATTCGAGGCGAATTTGGTGATGTCTGTCGAGGCAGATTACGGAAAGGCAATTCGATGAAAGATATTCCAGTAGCAATTAAAACATTAAAAGCAGGCGCAACAGAAAAGACTCGTCTGGATTTCTTGTCGGAAGCGAGTATCATGGGTCAATTCAATAATGAAAATGTCATCTTTCTCGAAGGTGTCGTTACTAAGCATCATCCAATTATGATTATTACAGAGTACATGGAGAATGGGTCATTAGACACATATCTTCGAGTAAGTCGATTGAAGTTGTCAAAGAGATGTATTAGGAAAATTCTTTTAGGCAAACGAAGGAAATACATGTCTGGATACGTTACAATTAACACGTATGTTACGTGGCATTGCTTCCGGAATGAAATACTTATCTGAAATGAAATACGTTCATCGAGTAAATTAAAAGAAAAAATGAGAAAAGAACAAGTTGTAGAGGGTGATTTTCTTTTCTTCTTCTAGGATTTAGCAGCACGAAATATTCTTGTTAACAAAGATCTCGTTTGTAAAGTAGCGGATTTTGGTTTAAGTCGAGAGATTGATGAAGGAGAAAGTTACACAACCAAAGGTGGAAAGATCCCCATACGATGGACAGCTATTGAAGCAATTGATTATCGAAAATTTACATCAGCATCTGACGTTTGGAGCTTTGGTGTATTATGCTGGGAAGTGGTCTCGTTTGGTGAACGACCTTTCTGGAATTGGTCAAATCAAGATGTGATTAAAACAATCAAGAACGCCTACCGTCTTCCGCCACCTATGGTTCGTTGATAGAAAAGCAAATAAGAGCGTGTAACTGTTAAAATTTCTTTCACCTTTTGCAGGGTTGCTCAGATGTGCTTTATCAATTGATGTTAGCCTGTTGGAACGATAATTATTTGCAAAGACCCAAATTTTGTGATATCGTTCAACAATTGACACAATTCATTCAAGTACCAAATGTTTTAATTCCATTAGCAAAACAAAAGTAAGAAATGTTGAATGAGATGAGATAAATCGTGACTGATTAGACGCATTCGCATGATTTTCAAATATCACGAATGCGATTTCTTTTGATTGACTATGACCGGAATAGATGACGACGTCTAGCGATGATTAACACGCACTGTAAACTTCCGAGACAACCTTGATGGAAACAAAATTACGTCAGCATTCTTCTTATCTAATCACACATCTTTTGCTTTAGATTCGTCTTCGTTAATCATCCAGATGAACCAAATCTTGCACAACTAACATCAGTCACCGACTGGCTACATAAACTTCAGCTTGACCGACTACTACATTTATTCCTCAATCTTGGTTATACCAATCTTTCTCAAATATGCCATTTTAACCTAGCAGATCTCAAAGAATACCTTGGTAATCACGTGACAATCGACGAACAAAATCATTTGATGGATAGTTTAACTCATCTACGATCTCAACTTGTATTGATTTCTTCGAATTCATTGATCACTAGTGAGGGTTACCTTGTCTAAATGAACAACAGTGATTTTCCGACGAGTTTAAACTGCCCATGTAATCAACTCTAGTCAAAAGCTAAGTCGCGTATTCCAAAACGTGTTCATGCGATGATTTTCTCTGGTGATACCATATTGTACATAGAACAAAACGAATTTGAAACTCTTGATGTGTGTATTCGATGGTCTGTTGTTTTTAGGCGTCTTTTTCTCTTTTTCGACTTTCTTCTTGTTCAAACTTATATTTGTAAAAGAAAACTGTTCAATATAAATGATTCGTGATATCGATGGAAATCACTATTGATTATTTATCTAATGAATAGATTGAATGCATTTCGGACACTCATGACCAGTGAGTAAAATCAGTGCTGAGTGAATGAGAATGATGTAAGATGAAATAGCATCATGATGGACATGCACAGACTAAATGTGCTATTGCTTTTGTATAGGAATAAACGTCAGATGACGAGACGGAGTTTATAAAGTGGTTATCTTTCATTTAATAATGATGTTTTTCTTTTTTTCTATTGATGAAAACGAGCAAATAAATAATAAAATATGCTAATGAACAAGCACAAGAAAAATAATTCTTCCAATTGCTATTAAATATAAGAATATTCATAGATGTGTATATATTTACCATAAATAGACATAGTTTAGATGATGCGACTCTTGCGATTTCGTGCCAATGCTTCGGCTATGTACACTGCCATGCCAACAAAAGCAATCACTGAGGCAATAACAGCGCCTATAGAAAACGAATACGTGACATTGGTTAATCTCGAAGGCAACAAAAAAGGAACGGATCATATTACTATGCTGATATGCATTATATGGAGCAGCACTATACCAACGACTTGCGACAATGGCTGCTCCGACACCGAAAACAAAGAGAGCAATAGCTGCAGCAAATGCGTAGATTGTTCGAAGACGATTCAGTGGAGCAACTGTTCCGTCTGTTATCATTAACTGTTCGATTAAGAGGAAGCCAGTTAAACATAACACTACATATTCAAAAGAGAGAAGAGACAAAATTTCGATTTGAAACTATCGTTGGTATCACTTACGTAGAGGAAATATGATCGAATAGCTCATTCGATAAGCAGAGAAAACTTCGTTCAGTGGATGATTAACGTGACAATGTATAACACCGACAAGTGTAATCACACAGGCTATTGCCATTAGAATGATAATCGTACGTCGAAGGTCCATTGCACAGTTGAACACAAAACCAAACTGCCTTCGATGAAGAATTGATTGCCTTTGCAAGTTTATTTCCTATTCGAAACACTCAAACTACTTTAGTACTCAACTATAGGGCACTTTCGCTTTCACCGAGAGATATACAAATAGAACAACAAGTCTAAATAAGAAGAAAAGCGAGATAGACAGAGAGAGATGTAGAAGCTTAATGTTCTTTTATCAATCTTGTCTTGTTGACGGCAAGAACACATATCTATCGAATCGATCGTAGATTAATCAAACATACGAAAAGGCGAATACATTTCTTCGAATGTAAAGATCTCTCGAAAGAAAATAACTTTCTTTGTTGTTAATCGTATTTGAACATCACAATATCATGGTCGATCCTAATGAGAGAGTACAAGAGAGATGAGAACAAGCAATAGCGATATTTAGAAACCGACTAAAGCCAGAATATTTTCACGTTCGATGAGATAATCTCCAAACAATTGCTATTTTCGCAAATACACATGCTACTAATCATCAAGGCAAATACCGATAATCGATGTCGGCTAGTAAAAGAAGCCTTTTAAGAACATGCGTGATCGTTGGGTTCGATGCATTTATAGAGCTGTTTACGCGTATAATATGCCATCAAGATGCTTATGTCAGCTATGAGATAGACGAACTCTTCCTTTTGTAACCATGAAGATAGCAGCATATACAAAGGATAAGAAGATTTATTTATAGAAACGAGCTCGAATGACGTAATTCATTGTTTACCAATTGCGAGTATTTCTACTTGTTTTTATTGATGATTTAAAATCATTTTATTCATATTAACCAACTAAACATACATATATATATACAAAGCACAGAAATTGATTGGTTTCTAAAATATCGCCTAATTTCCTAAGAAATTTATCGTTGCATTTTAATACAAAATGTGGTAGTAATCATCGACATGTTAGTTGGTATATGTACATCTAATGAGCTTTCAACAAACAACAAAAACAACTGTTCAACTGAACATACATTTGGACAGAAAGGACAAGAGTACGAGCAAGTATGTTAATCTTTGTCGTCGCCATCGTCTGGATCTTCGATAATGTAATCAGTAGAATCAATTTGTTGTTGTATTGTTTGATCGTAGTTTTGCATGATGTCGACAAGATAGTTGGGAGTTGTTTGAGCGTTGGACAATAATTGTGGATGTTGCTGTGCTTGTTGTGTTTGCATGTTGAGAAAGCAAAATTTTATCAGATAGTTGTTACTATGGTTTGGATCACGAACTAAACCAAATGACTGATCGAATACTCCTATGCATGTACCATGTTGATGGATTGTACCATGAATTTGTATGAGAACAAGGCCGTGTTGGGATTCTTCAACTTTATTTGACTGAGGATTGGGACAGAAACGTAATTCTTGATTGGTTACGTAAGCACGTAGGATATCACATACATAATACGAACCTAAAACTCGACGATTATTCTCATGAATGAGAGTTAACTGACAGTCCGGAAAGAAATGATCTGACGTAAATGTTGAGATATTGTTCCACGAAGTGTAGAACCACTCAGTGAATTGATGAGATAACTGGCTGTTACCAGGCAGCTTAGCTGCTGGGACAATGCTGTTATTGTTGTTGTTGTTGCTATTATTATTAGCTATCGCTTGACAACCATTGTTCCAAAAATCGATGATCTGTTTGACAAGTTTAACCTAAATTGAAAAGATGCCTTCAACGAGAGCAAAACACGCGACGATATGTGAAAATGATGTCAAATAAGGATTCGTTTCTTTCATGGGAGGTCATTGAATGTCTGCATACCTTATCAGTGCCTGGACCAACAGGAATGGACTTTTTCGCTAAATATTGCATGAGAATATCTCTCCGAATCTTCTTTCGTCGTAACAATTCCATCGCTGATTGTGAACATTTCAAACAAGCATCAATCGCCTCCGAACGCTGCAACAGAAAGAAGACGAGTATAGAGACATTCACACGAAAACGACACCATTCGCACTTACGGATTCAGTGGATATCATTGATTTTGTAACTGTATCTTTAACTGACATTAATTCGTCATCAGTTAGCATTGACAGTAATTCTTCGGCTCCTCTTTGTTCACAGGTGTTCATATCTAAAAATATTTAACCAATTAAACGACAAGAAGAAGAAGGAAAAACAAAATCATGATTTGCTTTTATTCCTAGTAAAATTTAAAAACCAGCCCATTCTCTTTACATTCTCGTCTAACCCAAAAGACCGGATAGGAGAAAAGAAAACTTGTACGAATATAGAATATAGAGAGAGAGAAATATGAATGTATATGTAACATAGAATTCACAAAAGGTGAAGAAAAACAACGAAGATATTGTTAATGTTTAAAGAAAAGAAAAATAAAGAAGTAGATCACAATTGAAGACGAACATAGAGATATGAAGAACGAAACAGTCATTCATTTCGAAACCCGATTGCCATTTATTTCGAGTAATACACACGGTAATAGAGTGTTTTCGAACGCCATAATGAATAGCTATTGTCAAACTTCAGTAAATAAACTCCTTGACCGGGATATGAGTGACTACCAGCATGAACTTCTTCGTGACAATCGCGGCGATATATAGGAACAATTTCATCTTGAGGTGGTTTCGGAGGTTTGTTCGTACTTCCACTTCCTTTTTCTATATCCTTCTTCTCTGCTACAAAAATTCAAAGGAAAGATTACACCCGTGGAATATGTCAAAGTGAATACGTACGATTTGCTCCATCTTCGTTTTCTTCTTCATCGCTGGAATCACTTACATGAACAGTGACAGTGTTTGTTGGCGATTTACTCCATTCAAAATAAACACCGAAGCCGAGATCGTAATAATCAGTGGCGAATTCCCAAAATATGCATTGACCATCTTCATGTGTTGGGACACGTACCTGAAGTTTAATCGGTTAATTGTATATGAAAAGAAGCAAAGGAAGCTTTTCTTTTAATTAGGAAAGGCAATCTCGTAATAAGTTTATTCCGTTCGAATTCTTTATCCTTCTTTTCGAATGACATGTCAGATTAAGAAAAGACTAAAACAAGACTTACTGTGACTGTTTCACCACTGCCAACTTTAATTACAGCATCTTTTTCTTTACGTATTTGCTCTTTGAATTCTTTAACGTCTTTTCTTGTCCACATGTTCGCCGGAATTTGTTTTGGGGCTTCTACTTTTATACGATAATTATGAAAAGATGTTAATCAACAAGATAAGCTTCAATACATACCAGTATTTTCTGTCTCCGCCGGTAAAACGAGCTCGCCATTTGCACCAATTACTGGTGTTGTAAGTGCCTCACCATTGACGGCATCGGAGTGTGTAGTAGCTAATTCGTTATTGATCTGTGTCAGTGGAAATTGTTGGTGTGGCAGTTCGGTGCCAACTGACGGTTGCGAAGGAATGTGTGTAATCGGCTCCAATGGGGTGTTGAGGGTGAGCGTTTCAAATTGGGTTTGAATGGGGGGCATTGGTTCTAGTTTGATTTCTTGAGCCACGACCTGACTAGTTGAAGGTGATTGAAACGGCATTATTGGCGGAGGAGGGTGTGCCAAAGGTGGTAAGTGGTGAGGAGCAGGACCAACAGGCGACATATGTTGAATAGGAACATTGGACGCAGGTGGTGGAATAATGGTCGATGGTGATGGGAGATTCGCTACTAATGGTGAGGAAACTGCATGCGTGGGCGATGTTGCTGTGGGTATATTAGCTTGTGTTGGTGGTTGAACGATATTGAGTGAAGTTGGTGGTGATACCGAGTTCATTGCTGGTGGCGGAATTATATTCGCTGCTGGTGGAGGGATCATTGTCATCGGTGGTGGCAATACCTCGGCATTCGTTGGTGTTAATGGTGATGAGGATTGTCCCATTGATGGTATCACATTTTCCGCTGGCGGTCGCTGTTCTGTATTCATCTTCTTAAAAGCAAATTCAATTTAACTTTCGCAATTAGAAAAAATAGAGTCATACATTCTGAAACTGTTGTTGTTGATCAATTAATTGTTGTTGATAGACTTGTTCCATGTACTGTTGAAAATGTTGCTCTTGCAGTTGTCGAATTAATTCTTCTTGCTAAAATTAGACTTCCGTCATGAACATCTCCAAATTCACTAGATATACTGACTGCTTGTTTGTTGTCTTTGTATTGTTGTTCGGCGTACGCTTTGAACTGCGAATACGTTTGTTGACTGAGTACGTCTTGGATTTGCTTTCTGAAATAGTATTCATTTTCGAAAAGGACTCGCTTTGGAAAGCAAATTTACCTTTGAAAATCTTCTCGTTTCTTCTGCTGCTTCTCTAAACGTGAATAATGTGCTAATTCGTATTGTCTGACGCGTTCAGCTTGTTCTTCTAATTCACGGCGAGTTTCATCGTTGCTTCTAGATGGGAAAACGATTGTTTTAAATACTCAAAGATAATTTCCTTCTCTGTAAAAAAAAAGGTGCTGTGTTCACAAACACGTTATCAATATGATTAAATATGTAACTTCTGGTTTGTTGAGAAATTTAATTAAGAAACGGAATGAACAAGAGACGTTAAAGGAAAACTATATATGTGTGTGTGTGCGAGCTATCTTATGTTCATAATTTTGACGAATAGGAAAGCAATTTGCTTAACTTTCTTTTTTCCTTCGCGTTGAAGAACAACAACCGACGTGACAGAAACAAAGAAAAAAGATGAAGAAGAAAACTCGAAGCTCAGAGAAAATCTTCATCTTTCTTCTCTTACACTTTATTTCCTTTGAAGCAGATTAATTCCAGATGCAAGTATATTATGGCAGATTCGCGAGGAGCAGCTCTGTCTACATTATTTTCTTTCATTTTGAGCTCATCGACTGAGAGAAAGAGTAAAAAACGGCCGCTCAAACCAAGAAGATAATGAATGCAAAAAAAAAAACTAGACAGATAATAACACGGACGTACAAAGAATAAAAGGGCGAATCTTATCATTGGCTTCCGACAGGTATGGCAGAAGAGAGAAGAAAAACTGACGAGATGTCGAGGTATTCAAAGAGTCTATTATTTGAGAAAATTTTCCAGCTGAAAACTTTCAAATAAATTTGCAGTTAAGATGATGAACAAAAACTTGCTTTTCTTTTTCTTACCCGATCTGATGTGGCGCGTCACTTGCAATCTGTTGCGATATGATATAAGATCGAAACGATGCACATCGCTCTAATAATAATTTCACATACTCTTCCATTGCTTGTTCTTTTGACATATCTCCTAAGGCAATCCATGCTTGTCTTTCGAAAAAAAAGAGAGGAAAAAAATTTCATCAGAAAACCAAATGATAATTCACTCACTTCCGATCATTTCCAACGACATCAAGAAATCCGACATCTTGTGTATGAGATGCATTCCATTTACCTATTTTCGTTTGCTTCGACAACGCTATCAAACGTATGTTATCGCCGTACTTTAATTGAACATCGCTACTTCCTTGTTTTTCTACAAGAAAACGTCAACGTCTGATATTTGGTACTTCGCCGAGTCGAAAATACCTTTTAGAAATTGTCTAGCCATATAAAATAATTTTTCGAGCGAAAAGCCAAATTGATCCGGAAGATTTTCTGATTGTAACGCTTCTTTCATAGTGGTTTTCGTCGTACTAGGTGGCGGTACGATATTAATTTGACCTAAACAGTTTCCGGCGAGAATTTCATCATAATATAATGCCATGCATGTACGAAGTAGAGTTGACCGGTCGACTGTGATGGGATGAGGCGACGACACAAAACGCGTCGAGAGACCAATGGATGGACCAATGAGATAACCAATAAGAAAAAATGTTGCTGTCGGAGGTTAAATATTGATTGTCATGTCGACTAATTAGTTCTCATTGGCTTACAGTGCGTTTCGTTTTATGGGTGAGTATATCTCAGGGAGAAGAGAAAAGAGAACGAAAGAGCGAAGAGATCTCGAAAATGATGGTGTACATTTTGTTTTGCCTACATGAAAATTATGGAGAAATGAAGGACAGAAAGAAAGTGTAACTCGATAGAGAGCAATACAAAAGATGAAACTCGTAATGAGATGTAAAATTCACTACTGAAAACGAAATGTCACGAATAATCATAATCTTGAATGTATAATAAACTTCTTGCAAATGTCAGTGTAGCACCCAAGTGTTCAGAATAAACCAGGGGAAGAATTTGAACCAGTTGTGTAATTGTGTTTTTTCATTGTGTGTCACGAACGCAAATGTATCCTTGATGTTTATTGAAAAATATCAAAATAAGTATGACAGTATACTTTAGCGGCTAACTCGTGATTACCTTTTGTCCTTCAACTTAATTATGAAGTTTATTTTTTTGTTATTTTCCACTCGAACTATGACAGATATTGCACGAATATAACTGTCTTCACCATTGCTTACGAGTTCGAATGAGAAGGGGTGTGAAACAAGTCATATTGTTATGTTGTTTTCAATAACTAATTGCGTGCTTCGATCTGTGTAACATATAAAATGGGAACGGATATGACTTTCAACAGTGCATTATTATCCATAATCTTATTATTTATCATAAAATGCTACGATTTGGGTCTCTTTTTTGTTGTTTACAATGTTTGTATCTGATTGGACAAGTTTGTGGACACGGTTATCTCGCTGACCCACCAGCGCGTAGTTCGGCATGGCTATTCGATAAGACGTTCGATCAGTGCTGTCGATACTATAACCATGCACAGATGTTCTGTGGAGGAGCGTATCGTCAGTGGACTGTGAATGGTAAATACCATGCCATCTCGACAATATCTTAGAAATCTTGTACATTTATAGGTGGTAAATGTTCTATCTGTGGAGAAGCATATGATCTCAAAGACAAACTATTCGATCTGGGTGGTAAAATGTATTTGGGCAAAATTGTACGGACATATACTCAAGGTGCTACAATACCGGTGACAGTTATCGTAAGTTCACTCGAATAGCGAATACACTTGTATCTCTCTTTTGTTTTTAAGTTAACAGCAAATCATTTAGGCGTGTTTGAATTTCGTGTCTGTAATATCGACAATGATCCAAATCAGGATGCTACACAAGCATGTTTGAATTTAAACCTTTTGAATGTCACCATTGAGACGTCACCAACAGGTGTCGATCGCGAATCAACGCAGTATCCAGTTAGTCGATTGGCAGCGACTGTACATTTGAATGTTACACTTCCCCCAAATCTCGTGTGCAAACATTGTGTCTTTCAATGGAAATATCGAACAGGTAACAGTTGGGGCTCGTCGAATGGCAAAGCATGTCTTGGTTGTGGACGAGAAAACGAAGAGTTCTACGGTTGCTCGGATATAGCCATTAGAAGTGCGAACGAATCTGCTCAAATCGAAAGAGCAGAAGCAGCTACCAAATCATCTAATATGACAGTACCAACTTCAGCACCAATCGCGCAAACAACGGCAGTATCCGAAGTATCTCTGCGAAAATGTCGCTCAGCAGCAACATTCAGCGAAACATTTGATTTAAGCTCGATCATGAATAGATATTGTGAAACAGTTTGTTCCGAAAATTGTTCTTCGGACAAAATACTTGGCAATTCAGTGCTTTACGAAGCGTGCGTAGCCACATGCGGTAAATTATGTGTTTGCGAGTAAATACAATGTATCAATTGCAAAGGACATTTTAGTACATATGTATAAATGCATTTTTTTTGCACCGAAACGCGTTCTGTACACTGTTAAATTGTTTTTACATTTTTATTCGCAATAAATCTATCAACTTACTCATACATCTCCGAACATAAATCATCAATTGCGTAAAGGGGTGGATATGGGCGTGAATTGAAAATAGATACATTTCTCTCACGTTCACACGTATACATTGAAGACTTTTTAAGTAGCGTCATTTTTCTTGGTTTCTGTGGAAACTAACGTGCATATTCTAATCAAATTGCTCAGTGATCTCGTTCATGTAAGGATATCCATGTATTGTTGTGATGAAATTTTAATGAGAAATCGTATCAGTCTAGAGTGCAAAAGAAGCTTCGTGAGAAAGAACACATGCTCATTAGACATGCGATCTTCCGGAAACAGAATCTCTACATTTCATCGATATGCTTGAGTACATTCTAAGGGTAAGTCGAGCAAAATTGCGATGCATTCTTTGAAATCAATAGAATAGTCCATGTATTTGTTGAGCAATAGACTTGTTTACTTTCCTAAGGAATTTTTTCCTGCCACTGTTTACCTCTGTGATCAATATTTTCCTATCGCTAGCTCCGACATCAGACGTCAACAAACGATTGAATAAAACTGAAGTTTCTTCCTCCGATAAGACCATTCTATTGTTTGAAGCGGAAACTTACAAACAACGTTTGCCATTGCCGGCTACTGTAAGTAAACTTTTTCTCAACTAATTCTCCAGTCGTATCTGGCATGTAGTTAAGAGCTATTAGAAAGCATACCGTTCGTTCGAATGTCATACACGATTGGGGCTGTGAATTAAGACTCGTAACCCGATAAAGATATTTATTAGTTTTCTTTTTTCTTCGGCAAAAAAAATCAGGAAATATACATGAAAGACAAGTTAAATTGATGGATAAGTTCTTTGGAATGTGGGGATTTGTATAAGATTTGTAACCAACCGATCGATCGACTGGTCTGCATCATTGTCAATTAGCAGTGTCGGTGGGTAATAGAGTGACAGTTGAGGAAATAACGTGCGAAGTAATGTCCAAACATTACTGCGTAGTGTTGTGAGACTAGTTTGATGTGAACATGGCGAACGCTCGGAGTTATCTATTGAGCAGCTACTATTCGGACGGGAAATCTGCGCTTTACTAGAAAGAAATCAAATGCGATTGATATCAAAAGCTCTCGCAACTTACACGAGGGATTTTTTTTCATCAGGCATAAGAATTTTATCAGTTAGGAAGCATGTCGAAAACGTCGATTTAGGATTGCTTAATTTATCAACATCATCATCTTTGTCTATTTTTATCAATGTTGTGTCCAGCCGAGGTCGTTTTGTTTCTGACAGCATCAAACGAGATATACTGTGCTGCCGTTCATGCTTCGACATATGTCTGTGAAAGAACGAGGGAAAAACATAGTTAAAAAAGAAATTCATTTCAGTGCAAACTTGCCAACCTTATGTTAATGGTTGAGTAATTACATTTTTGACAACGGATAACGCGGTTATTTAAATGACATCTCTAAAAGAAAAGAAAATCTTGACGACAAACGCGAAAATTAAGTGAATGTGAATTACAATATGACAATCATATTTGGATTTTAATAATGTCGCGTACGAACACAGATGACACTGTCGAACATTGACACCTAGCTCGCCGTGTTCTTGGAAGAGATGTTCGCGAAAATTGTTGATGTCTTTGAATGTTCGAGTACATTGACTGCATATGTGAGGTAATTTCGATGATTCATTGACAGATGATCTTCGCGCGAACATAGGGAAAAGAAAATTCACTTTGATTAATTGAATAATCGACTTACGAGAGCGGTTTTTCTATTACGAGAGAATTCATTGATGGAACAAATCAGTACTTAGCATGAACTAGAATAAAAAACGAAAAACTTCAATATCGATGTCGTCAAACGAACCTGTTCATCGGTTTTTTGCTTTTGGCATTCGTTAAAACAAATAGCTTCGCACGCTTTCCCCTTTCTTTGTCACTTTGATTAGCGTCGGCAAATGTGGTCAGACTAAGCAATATATTGACGAAGACGATGACGACGATTACTATTTTTACATAATTTCTTGCGTATTGTTTTATGTCAATAGACATGAGGACGATACATAGTGCAAGTGTGTATGTATGTATGTGTCAGCATTTACGTAACCCATTAAGAAAGAGCGACGGATTGTGGCAATAGATAGATGAATGTATACATGTGTGTGTGTGTATGTCATCGTTCAATCCTTCGTTATTTTTCTTCTCCTCTCCGTCTATTCTCGTTTATAATTGCATGTAATTTGACCAACACGTAGAGAAATCACCAATATGAACAATTTATGGGTTGATGAGACATTCGTTTAAAAAAAAGATTTGTTAATCTGTTCTTGATGATGATCATCATTTCGCTATTTTCCAAAACATGAGTGTCGATGAGAGAGAGAGAGAGAGACGATGCACTCGTTCAAGTATCTGTATATTTTTCTAAACAGTTAATTAAATCATCGAAGTTCGAAGAAAAGGAAGCGGAAAGCAATGTCATCATTCAATAGAAATCTATTAATGATTTGTCGTTTTTAGATTCTTTGGAAAATAATAGAAAAAGAAGAAAGAAAATCAGTTACGAGATATAACATCGAGAAAAGAAACGAAGAGGAGGAAGAAGAAACTTCAGAGAAAAAAAAAAGAATTAGAAATACAGAACGATAGGAAATCTTGCAGAATAAATCGAATTAATGATGAAATAAGCGTGCATCGACAATTCATTCATGACATTTGTTCATTATCCTACTCATTGCGATTTTTCCACTATCAATCCAAGCAGAAGTTGATTCTCTTTGATGGTATGCATCTGTTTTTCTTTTGAATCTGAAGACACATCTCTGCGCGTTCAGTGTGCACTTATCTGTATATACATCTACCTATCTTTTTTCAGATAAAAGAAATAATGAGACGAGAGAAGCGCACAATATTGCCTGTCATTGTGGATATACTTTGTTACTCATTAGAATGTGTGGAAGCACAGATCTCGAGAATTTCAATTCGATGATATTTCTACTTTTACTAACATCGAAGTTTGTTTTTCCTTTTGCGCACTGGAATTCTTTTTCAAACTCTCCTCGTATATCAGACGATTCGTTTTCCATCGAAAGATGAACAGTTCGAATTCTCCTAATTATAATTGATTACAGCCATGATGAGAGAAGAGACAAAAAGGAATTTTTCTTCATTTCCTTTGTATATGAATATTACCGGATGTACATACAAAGAGAAATAAAGAGTGTCATCTAGATTTCCTCTGATTTCGTGTTATTGTTATTTGTTTGCTTTTCTTTTTTCTGTCTTATTATAGTGTTTAATTTCTCGTATCGGAAGACGTCAATATCTATCCTATTATTATTAAAGCTTCTCTTCTCCAACTGAAAAGCAGACACTCGCTGTATTCGTTCTCATGTGGCTAGTCATTACGTTTTGTATTGGATTTTTAATTTCAAACGTGTGCTTGGCAGCAGTCAACAAAGATTTCAATGAAAAATGTCATTTTCTAGGAGAAAAATGTCAAGATAACAGTGATTGTTGTTCAGATTTCATTTGTCGCTCGGATCAAGGTAGATATACCTGGCTTGATGTTGTAGTCGAATGAAAAAAAGCATCAATAATCGATCTTTTTCTTTTTAATCAATCCTAGCAGGCAATATTTGTTCATCATCAAGACCTCACCAACGTTCGAAACGTAATATAGACGACTCAATCATTCCGCCATATTACAATCCAAAGAATCAACTATATCCCTACGGAATTAGTAAACCCATATTACCATTTTATAAGGGGCTAGGTCTGAAGACAACTGATGAAAGCAAGAAGATGGGTAAGGAAAATCGATTTGTGAATAGGTTTGATAGTGTTTTTATTTAGAATGGGATCATTGTCAATTTCATGAAGAGTGCGGTGAGGGCAATTGTTGTTACGTTCATTTTCGATTTCGTAGTTTACCCAAATGGTTCTGCCGGCCGAATCGAAATGAATTAACCGGCTTGTGTGAACCTTTAACGAAATATCGTTCACTTAAGGATGTATCAGCATGGAAACAACTGCAAGAACAGCAAGAGCAAGAACAAGAACAAGAACAATGATTATTGTTAAATCCAAGTGCGCACATCATGACGTTGAACAAAGAGACAAATAAAAAAAGACGAGAAAATTCTCCAATAAAAAAATGACTGCAAATTCGATCATGTCTATTTCCTATACATATATACATATATATTCATCATTTTTCTTTTCTATTATATTATGATTAATATGACAAGAGCAACAAATCAAAATCGCGAAAATATGAAACGAAAGTGGCTATTTATTTGTCCCATTGAGTAATGAGAAAAATAGATGGGACATTAGCTTTCGAAAAGAAGAAAGAGAATAGATACTGCTTCGATGTTTATATATATATCATGTCCTTTTCATGTCACCACCAATGGCAAAGGAGAGTTTACGGATGGGCGATTAGTGTCTAAATGATCGATCGATGAATGGTAAAATGAGCATGTTCAAAAAGAAATGTGGACATACACGTTCACTCGCTTGCTCAGTGTAAAAGTAAGTCAAGCACGACGAACGCGTGAAATACAGTAAGAGAATACAAGAAAAAGTCTATATAGTGATCGTGACCGATGGGAATTGTGTTGCGCATCACTAGTCACAACAAAATACAACGAAATAAAGAGTCTTCTTTTTTTCTCGGTGACCATCCGTATCTCTCTCTCTCCCTCTCTTTCTTCTCCTCACCCTCGAACGTGTGACACAGAGGCATATCAATATACACATACACTCGGGTTAATTTGATCAACAACTAAAATAAAGCAGAAGAGAGCGAACATTTCGAACTATGGCTGATAGCGTAAGTGCATCCTATCCACAATCGACATCACCTGGAAATCCAGATCAACAATATGTCCAACATCAGTATGCTTATCAAGCACAAGCACCAAGCCCAGGCGGGCATCAATATTACAGCGCAGCAAGTGGTGTTGAACAGCAACAAGTAGTTCAAGATAATGGTGATCAACAAAATAGCGTTCATCAGGGTCAAGATGTTAACTATTCACAATACACACGTAGCGGAGCTGAACTTGCTAATGACCAACAAGTCAGTAGTGGTAGTTTTGCTGAACAAAGTAATGCTGGTATTGTCCAACAATACGCCGGTGCTGCTGGTCAGCTTGCTCAACAACAAGGACAAAATGGTTATAAAATCAACTTTGATCCCAACCCACAGATTATCCGTAAACATGCTAATGACGCGGTTACCTACAAGCAAGAAGTTGCTGTGCGATATTTACGACCACCAACACCACCACCACCGGGCCCTTTGATTATTAAAGAGGTACGGTTGTCATGTATTTCATCATCGTGACAAATTTTACGGTTTTCTTCTTCTCTTTCAGGTTCGCAACCCTGCCTTGCCACCAGCTCCACCTATTGTCATTCGTCAACGACCACCTCGGCCAGCAACACCGCCACCACTCATTATTCGAGAACGACCACCTCAGCCGCCGGCACAACTTGCGCCAAAATTGATTACTAAGCCATTGCCACCACCTCCACCTCCACCACGACGCGTCATCATTGAGCGAATGCCACCGCTACCGCCTAAGCCTCAAAGGTTTGTGACAACTAGTTTTCTCCGCCAATCAAAAGCATTCTTTTGTCTATATTTAGTATTATCGTTGAACGTTGGCTTCCGTATAAACAACAAAAACGACGTGTCATCTACCAAAAAGCACCACCTGTTCAACCGCCAGCGCCGCAAAAAAATCTTATTATTCAATGGGAAGGTACACAAGCACGTGTCGTCAAAGAATTCCGCAATTTAGGCATCATTAAAGCCGATCCTAATACATACATTCAACAATACGGACCACAGCTACGACCGACACAAGGCTTACCAGATTTCGTCAAGGGATTACCGACTCCTAATCTCGGCCCCGAATATGTATGAAAAAATATTTTGAAAATAACAAACGCAAACTTTGTCTTTGAACTTTCTAGACAGCGGGTGCTAATCCTGATCAAGTTGATCCGGCATTACTGGCTGGTGCTGCTGGTCCAATAGGTGGCTATGAAGCGGTTGGTGAACAAGGTCTTCTCTCTAGTGCATCCAACGGTTCATTATCGGGTGCCAATCAAGCTAGTTTTCTTCAAGAAAACGTTCAATATGCAACATATGGCGGTGCCGGAAACGGTGCTGGTCAAGTTCCTGGTGAACAAGGCGGATATATTTATCAGCAAAGTGCATACTCCAACGGAAGCACCGTTGAAGGACAACAATACGCCGGTATTTTGTAGCTCGATTTGTCTCTTTCTCCATATATCGTCATTCTTCTCTTCTCCTAGATCAGCAACAAGGTTTCGAGCAACAAGGTCAACAAGGTAACGGTTTCGTACAAAATGTACAATATCAAACAATGCCTCAGTATGGTGTCAATGGTTAATTGGAGTAAACGAAAAGCGAGAAACTGAACACGTATCATTTAAAAAAATGATCAAAAACGAATTGTTTTCTTCTTCTTCTTCTTCGTCTTTTTTTCTCTGGAAAACTATTTCATCTCACTCCAATGTCTTTCTTTCACTTTCAAACGTTTTCATTTTCTTTTTTAAACCTCACTTTCGTTTCGTTCGTTGTCCTCCTGTGTTTCATTTTCATTTCTTTCTTTTTTTTTCTATTATTGCGATCGACAAGCGATGGCCTATCTATTTGTTCCCACAATGCAAAGCATTTCGTGATATACAATTTGTTTATACATCATCGTAGATCAATTCCAATAATAAAATCTTGTCTAGTGAATTTGAAAAGAATCAATTCAAATCATTCTCTTTTATTTCTCATCGTCCGCCGTGGAACGACAAGTGTAGACATTCTCATGCGTTTGCCTTTCGTTATACACGCAAATAAAATAAGAGACAAGAAGAAAACAAGCTGAGAGGATAAGAGACAAGAGACATAAAGTACAAGAGAGTTTTCAACGATCACCGGACAAAATCATATAAAAAGAAGCGAGCGACAGACACATGTTCATCTGACGAATTCATATATTCCAAAGAACATTGTAATATGTATGTAAGTATTGAATATAAATAGTCCATGTATAGTGAAAGATCAACGACGAATCCGCTTTTCGGACTTGATTTAAACATGTATGTACTAGTTCAGCGTTAGTTTCGAAATCGTAGGTTAAATTCGTTTGAATTTGCTCGACTAATTGCTGGTTATTCAATAAGTGAGTGATAAATTTCTGCAAGGTTGTACTGTTGTTATTATTCGTATCATTGGAGAGCTTCTCGCACAGTTGTTTGTGCAAATCCAAGAGAACATGTTCATTTAAATGAAACTGTGATCGTTTTATATGAAATGTTTGATAAAGTTGATCAATAAAATGAAATAAAAATTCCATAATCACCGGCCGATTTGAGATTGTTATTGTTGACGACGGTGTTGGTATACGAATACGATCATTCAGACATTGATTAAGGTGGGCAGTCCATTGATTGTACGAGTCAGTTGTTTCATAGAGATTCACCTGGTGGTTAAAATGATTAGGAAGGAACTTGTTTGTTAACTGTAGGTGAATCTCTTTCAGAAAGTGTACCATCATTTCGTGAATGTTATCATTTGAATGTTCGCGATGACTAGAAAAACCAAATATCGATCTGGGCGATGTCGTTTACGTGATGACTTACTTGGAAAAAGGTAGGCCGTATTTCTCACAGTAATTCAAAAAGCAATGTTTGATATATGGTCGTTGTTCGATTGTTTGACAGAGTAATTGTTGACATAAAACATAGAAACATATGGTTGATTCGTTCATTAGTTCGAATAGACTCTGTTCGATAAGATCAAAATTTGTTTTCCATTGATGGTCAATTTGACTTGGTATAAGTAAAAGGGGTTTTTTGATGATGATATTCAGATGATACTTCGATGGCCATTTGCGTTGACAATTACGTTTCGAATCTGTATAATAATTGTCCAGTAGAGCTTTTGGCCAACGTTGAACGAGGAAAGCAAATGAGTATTGTTCGTAATCGATATGAATGGTATCAGTAGCAGTTTTTTTGTTATCAGATAGAAATGTCGACGAAAATGCGTCAATTATACATGACTTGTCTTCATCTTCGAGATTCGTTTGTAACGAATCACTTAATGATAAACATGGAGGTAAACGGAGAGCAGCGAATGTGATATTATTCTCCGATGGCAATGAACTAAACGCAAACCGTGCAGAAGAAGAAAACGAAAAGGTCAATTTACTTTGTATGATTGCTTTGTTGTTTAATTAAACACGTTATATGACTTCCATCACCTGTTAGAAATCTTTTTGCGATTGCACACGTCTGATTGACGAGTATCATTGTGTGAAACCATTGTTGAATGAGGTTTGATGATAGATAGTAGAGATTTGTTTCGGATGAGTGATAGATAAATGATAATAATTGCTTTGGAATCTTCTCTTGTTCGATACGAATAAAACCTGTTTGAAAGAAATCATCCGATGTAAGAATATATGGAGAATCTTGTTCCACTGGCGCTTTTTTCATTGGAGGTACTGTTGTCGTCGAATCAGTAGATTCTTTCGTTTTGTTCTCCAATGTGATGACCACATGCGTTCGATCCAGTTCGATCCGTTTCTTTCGATACTCTTCGTCATCTGCTTCGATTTTGTACTCTATTCCGGGGACAAAATAACATTTCGAACGAATTTGTTCGCAAGTCTTGTAAGTGCTGTGTGTATTCGAGGACAGAGCGGGTAATATGGATTCGAATGGAGTGATATGAAAGAGATTGAGATCATCTGCTAAGATCTGATCAGCACCAGCGAACGGATAGATGATTGTTGCAAGTTGAAAGTGATGTTTGAATGTTTGCTTTGCCTTGGAGCTGGCAATTCGTGTGAGGAAATCTTGGAAATGAAAGTTCAACTCAACCGATTTGGCAAAGCTGAGGAAATCACGATTGAATTTCAATGTTAATATATGAGGGAAATCAGGCTTGGACGAAGAAGACTGTTTATCAATCAAAGCACAATTTTCCTACGTAGGAGAAAGCATTAATGTTTTCTTCCAGAACAAGATGTTTACTTACTTGTCTATATGAGCCGTTGAGAATGTTCTCACTATCATCACATTCATCACCTATCGTTCGACTTCGTTTAATTTTTTTGTTATTGTTCGTTGATACTACTGTTCGAGTGGCTTTATTTCGATTTAATGATGGTGTGCCAAGTATGCGTAGTGAATCGATCCATTGATCAATGCTCGATGCACCATGCAAAGATTTCTCGAGATCTTCGATTGATAATCTTGCGTGTTCGATCGATTGCGAGTAGTAGGATCGTTTGGTTTCAGCAAGTGTACCACGAAATGAACGACCCGTTGGTGGTAATTTTGTAACAGTTCGAGATTTACCCGGCGGTAAAGGTGGTTTACATTGAGGCTGTATATTGTTTTGATTGTCGTTGGCATTGTCTGGGACAGTTGAAATAACATTATGCAAAGATACCGATCGACGATTCTTAGCTGATGATAGATTCTTATCAATTTCATTCGGAGTGTGGATGGATGTTGATGGTATTGCATTAATAACAAGTGGAGGCGATGGGTAAGTTTTATCATTCGATTTAATACGATCGAATGTTGGAAAATATTTCTCGTCGCTAGATAACGATGCTGACGATGCGGAGTGTCCGGAGAAACATGGACAACAAAATGATTGTTGTTTCTTCTTAATTGGTTTCTTTTTCGTTGGTGTCGAAGAATTATTTCCCATGATTAAATCATTGGCGTATTTGCATCTGAAATAGATGAGAAGTTGGCTGGGTAATCAATGACAGAAGGAACAACAGCGATTGCTGTGTGTCAATAGGAGGATAGGGCGAGAAATGACACTTCAATTCATGACAAGGTTCATCGACAATTGTGCAAACAATGATCGACTGATGCAATAAGTTTATCTATTACTCTTTCGTTTGAACGTTCAAATCGATCTAACGATAAGTAAAAGAAATGTCACGAGTAAATCGATTTTTCGGCGTCGAACGATCAGATTTCACGGTATAAGATAACGGAAAAGAGATTAGTGTCGTTAGGAAATAAATGATTAAATTTTCATTGACGGCGAACTGAGAAAATGAAGAAGAAAGAGAGAAACGATGTATATACAATATATATGTATACATGTTACATGCGCGTGTATGTGTCTTTTCTCTAATAGTTTATACTTAGCTTTTCTTTCTTTTTTCATCCGATCCGACATTGACGAGGTTCAACGGAAAGAAATACTCGTGCACGCATACAAGTAGAATAACAAGAAAGAAAAGAATAGTACAAATGTGTGTACTCAAGTGATTAGTCTCCTCCTATGTAATTGTTCTTCACGAGAACGAGTAGTCCCATTTTTGCTCTTGTCAATGCTTGAAAATGTTGTATTCAATGTTTATTTTTACAAACAAACTTTACTCAATGGCGACGGTCGATTCATTTCAAGCTGTCCGATCAATTCGAAGAACTGCTACTTGACATGTCTTTATCATCCAAAGACAACAACGGAGATCAAGTTACCATCTATGCTAGAGGACGAACACAACGGATCTGCAAAGAAAAATACTGATGGCCTAGATAACGAGCAAAGATTGTTATATCATCAGTTACCCTTTTGGAACTGTAAAAAGGTCGATTGTCGGAGAATAGTATGCCAGACACATACATACATTTTTGTCTGATAAAAAGATGATTGATTATCGGTGAAAAAACCGAATTGAAATCATGTTCTTCATTTGTATTCATAAGAACAGAAGAAATGATACTAACTAATCCACCAAGCAATCCATCGATGTAACAAAGGAGAGAATAAGACTGTTCGCGCACGCAATCCATTAGACAAAATAGACATAGAACGGTTGCACATCATCGGCCGAAGTGTCGAAGCGAATGTTTACATGAAAAAAAAGAGCTACAAATCTAAATAAACAAACTTGAAAAAACCGGATGCAGCAAGCAGCTAATATTTGTATATAAAAATAGAGAAATGTCATCAATCAGAGAGATTTTCTCTCTTATTTATCTTCCTTACAAGTATCAAATCGTCATTGAAAAAGTGCACAGAAAGTAAATGTTTGATTCGACGTTGTTTTCTTTTTACTTGTGTTCATTTCATTCATTCTGTCTCCCGTTATAATAAACAAAACAAATCGCTACAGCTGTTTTCCGAATTGGTTGGCCTATCCTAAATCACAGATGACACTAGACGCTGGAGGTAGTTTTCCATGTATCTACCAGTCGTCTTACATGTCAAGTTCAGTGGCCAAATTCATGAAGTATTTATTAATGAAATGTGTTGATTACATTCTGTCGAACAGCTGCCGGAAAAGGAGACTAATCAATTTTTAATGTGCTTACTGATTGATTGGATGTAGAACCGCAGAAGTTCAAAGGCCAAAGCACTTCATCGGTTTTCGAGTCGCATCTGAATTATTTTATTTTTTTTTAACAAAAGAAAAACAATTTATTTATCTTCGTCGATCTCTTCGAGGAAACACGTTTCCGTAGTTCCTGTCATTAGATCGCCTATGCTTTCATTATTCATCTGTTCATATTGGTAACGCTGACGAGGGTAACCCCATAGTAATTCGAATTGATTGGGCACATTGGAGTTGGTCCATGCGAATTCAAATAAGCTTTTTACTGGCTCACTTCGACGAAAACGTCGACGAATCGGCTCATCAGCTGGCAAACGTATAGACACTTGGACAATATCAGTTTCGGTGGGTGATGGTTCTGGTTGAAGCGCTTGTTTTAGTCGATCGCGAAATTCAGCAAATTTCTTAGATAAAACAGAGAACAGAGCTACGTATGTTTTTCTCGGATGGTTATGTTAATTACTTGTAGTTTCCTTTGTTGCTCTTCTTCTAAGCGTCTTCGTTCATTTTCTGCTCGTTCACGCTGCTCAGCCTTAAATTAATTCAAAACAAAAATCCTTCGTCGTAGTGCAAACAATCGATCTCGACGAACTTTTTCTTTATCGATTCGAACAGAGTCCAAATAAGCTTGATTTTGTTCTTCTAGAAGACGATCTCTGGAAGTACTTTGTATCCTTCGTTGTCTGTGAAAAATGATTTTGAATACCGAATACATCTTTATTTGTGCAAGTTCCTACCGGTTGTACTCAAGTGTTTGATCAGCATTTTGAACAGCACCTATGATCTCTGCTAAGCATCGATCGGAATCTTAACAAAGCCAAGTACAATATTTAACAATGGTACATTATTTCTCTACACTTGAATTACCGGTATAGTGATCTAGTTTAAATTGAACAGTTTGTTGTGAGCCGTAATGTGCAATAATACAAAAACAAGGAAAAGTATTTGCCATCAGCAAACGACCGGCTAGATTGATTTCGAAAGAGAAATGAGCGTTGAGGGAAGCGTGAAGGAGGTAGATTTTACCTGCAACACCTTCTTGCGTATTTCGACTTGTGCTCCATAGGAGATTATTACCGAGTATCGATTGAAAGGCTTCGCCACACAAAATTTCACTGGAAACAATCGAATAACACTGGAGCAACCTTTTTTCAGAAAGAACTTACCGACAAAATCGATCGCACATGGCTGAATTGCTATCGTGTATGTAAATGAAAAGTAGACGAACTTCGCGTTGAGCATCTCGAAGTGCCTAAAATATTGGTTCGACAACTTCAAATGTACGCGAGAACCGTTCTTTTACTTGAGATAATTTTCCTTGATAAAATATTGGATGATCAGTACTGTACTTATTATTGAAATACCTACAGTAATCTTCCAGTTCAGTCAAAGGATCTCGTGGTGGCTCAGTCCAGAATAATGAACGAACTGAAACAAAAATCGAACATGAAAATGACGAATTCCTTCACAACTTATCTATTTTACTGAATGAGAAAGCAGCACGAACGATTCTCCAAGGTAAAAACGGTTGGAGTTTCAGATAAAAAGTGTATAAAAATGATAGCGGTGTACGAAATAGTTGTCTAAAACGAAATCAGTGCCGTTTCGATTCGACTGAATTGATGTCCACTTACAACGCATAGTTTGGCATGTATCGAGATGTTACTGATGTTGCGGGAGGTATTCGCCGCTCGATTATCACTGGTGGAGTATTGTTTGTTGGAAGATCTGCATTCAACATTAAGACAGTATTGACGGCGCGTTCCACGTCCCAATCAGTCATTTTGAGATACTGAAGACTAGTTTCATAGGACTCCATTCCGGAAAATTCCTAGAAATGGAACGATTACATTATAGTATGAAGAGATGAGATGATTTTCTAACCTGAAAACGGATCAGAGCATCGCTCTGCTCTTGTGTTAGGGTGTCACTATTCATTCGAAACAATAGGAACACAGACGAGAGGTTTGTGGCAAGATTTCACAAATTGCACATCGTCTACTTCATTCTGAGACATAAAAAGCCAATGATAATCCAGTCAATGACAACGCAATAGATGTCGCTGTACTTGTTAAATATGAACAAAAAATATCTTCGAAAACCAATTGATTTTTTTCTAGTTTTTTTTTCACAATTGAATTTCGATCTATTCGAGTAGATGGCAACAGTTCAATGATTGAACAATGAATCATCAGATCAGAAAGTTAACTCGTGGAACGTGGGTGAGTTTCATTATCTTTCCTTTGTATGAACATTGATTGTTTATTAGTGAAGAACAATGACAACAAAGTCCAAGAATAGTAAGTGCACTATACGAATTTCCATTCGTTACGAAAGTTTCTCTTTTGTTCCCCTGTATTCGTTTTATGATTCATTTCCTTAAGTGATTCATTGTTATCAGCGACTATATCGAACTTTCTCTAAACATGTTAATTTGAAAATCATCATGTGTCCTTGACGTTCTTCCTCCTACTGTTGTATTCATTACCTGTACATACGTCACTTATGTTCTATGATTGAGTTGCAATATTGAATTAGTCTTTGCTTCGTACGTTAACATTTATACATAATACAGGTATTGTGTCTATATACGTTCTCTTCGCTCGTCAAAGTCATGCATTGATTTGTATATGTCAATATTGATAAAGATTTCGTATGTAACTTCGCAGTCGACTGACTTGTTCAATTCAGTAGTCATAAAAAGAACAATAAATAACCGCATTGACATTTTCCAAAACGCCTATGATTTATTTGGACTCTTCATTGATTAGATCTGCCCTCACCATCATCATTTGAACATCTACCCGACCTTGTTTCGCGAGCCAATTTCAATTCGGATACTTCAATATTACCGTCAACAACTTTTCGTCAGCATGACCCACGCACATCGATCGACGTAATACGACAGATGACTTGTTCTTCTCCATTGCGACAAGAATACGCTAATTTAACTGTCCTTGATGTTTACGATGAGGCAGCATTAATTGGCAAGGACTTCGAACGTATTATTGAAGGTAAAGCAAACAAATCGATCCACACTTTTTCAGTAATAACGATTTAGCGTATGGAACGGAAACTATTCGTGATCTCGTCCCGAAAGTAATTCGTATACTTGAGTTACTTGAACTGCAGGCGGCGAAAAATGAAAAGGAAACCGATCAATTAATGGAAATGAAAACACGTATCGAACGATTGGAGATCGAAAAGAGCGAAACACGTGAAATACGTGAGAAGTTCGACCAAGAACTCGAAGTTATCGAAGAGCAATGGCGTAAAGAAGTACGTTTTCATGTCTTTTGCTACTTCAAACTTTTCCTTCTCTATAATTCACAGGCAGATAATCTTATGGCACTTGTATCAAAACTAGAAGATGAAAATCGCAGATTACGTGATGAACTTCAGCACAAGAGTGATCTGGATGAAAAAGTCGAGCGAAGCAGTTCGAAAGACAGCATCAGTATGACGACTTCTAACCAACAAAAGAAAATGTTCTTTTATCCGGTTGCCTAGGTGTCACTCGCGAAGAACTTCAGTGCATCAAAAGTCTAACAGATGAAAACATGAAACTGAAAAAGATGGTGAAAACCAAAGATAAAGAGCTAACTCAAAAAACGCTCGATATCGAGGCAGTAAGTATTCGTACGACAGCTTTCCGGAGCAGTTTTTGCCCTTGAGTATCTTCGAGAATATAGTCTTTGATTGTCGATAAGTGCACTCCAGTAACTCAAATAATGATGAATTGCGAGTCAGCATGAAAAGAGCTTCCTGAAAGATATGAGCGTCATTGAAATACTCTTTAAATGTCTTTGTTCATCAGTAATGACGCACATTGCCAAGCGAAGATATGGAATTTAGGGAGATTTTTGTTGATACTTTTAGATCCAAGGTCAACTCGAACGTGTTTGCAAATTAAATTGTACATTACGTCAAAGGAATACGTTTTCCGTCAATCAAACTCAACGGTTGATAGTGGAAAAACTCGATTTAGAAGTGCAATTAAAAGAAAAGGAAAATTTCATTACTCATATGAAAGATCGTGTCACCGATGATTTGACTAGTCCAGTATCCCCAACAGTAAGTCAAACAAACACGATATAGCAAATATCTTTTCGTTGTTTATCAATAGAATCCCACTAATGATTTCTCGACACACGATGCGAATCAACCGCGGTTTTCATTACAAGAATTACGTCAAGTTCTGTGGGAACGAAACGACCTGAAGACCAAGTTAGTGGAAGTCGAAGAAGAATTACGATTATTCAAAGAACAGTACGAATATCATGTTGTCATACGTCATTACCGGCATATTCATTAATTTCATTTCTATTTTCAGCGAAGAAAACAATAATAATAACAATGATGATGATGATAATTGCGCTGTCCAAGGTCCTATTCCTTTAGAGCCCGATGAAAAATTATACGGTCAAAAGCAAGATGAATCGAAAATTCGTCAATTGTAAGTTGATTGTTTCTCGTTGTTTCCCCATAGGCGTACGTCTACTTGTTGCTATCGTCGCATGTCCCGCTATGACGTCATATATTCTATTTACTTTCAGTATGAAACTCTGTTTACTTTTCCCCATGATCGCTTGCTTTGCAATTCTATGTTTTTGGTAAGCTTTTGGCATGGTTGCAAGCAGCAAGTTACGTTGATTGTTTTCCACATTGCATGACCCGAGCGTGTATCAATCATCTCCTCTAATCATGATTTACCGTGAATATGCATGCTGTGCTGTTACAGATTATTCTCTGCTAATCGAAAAACTAATCAGCAATACATAAGCCTTCCCAAACATTCGTTTTTGCTTTGTGTCTAATGTTCAATGTTGTTTTGTTTGTTTCCAGTCTTCGTGCCTTTTTTCCGTCGACTAAATCATCGCCAATATCCGGCCAAAATCTATCTGGGCAATTGTCTACGCCGTTGACAACAGCAAATTCTAGTCGCTTCTCGTCGCCAGCGATTCAATCGACTGGTTCATCATCGAAACGGTTTTCTATCGATAGCTTGTTCAATAGCAATCGTAAAGCATCGAAATCCAACTTTCCCATCCTTTCGCCACCTTCAACTCAATGAGAAGAAAACGCAAAAAGTTATTTTTTCATTTTTGTATCATATTTTTCTATTTAATTTATTTCTTCCTATTGTTATGCTTATATCTCTGTTCAATATTCGGTCTGCTCAAAATTTTCTTGTGAATTTGTTTTATATCTTTAGTTTTCGCTTTGTTTTTGGTGATTATTCAACAACAGCAAATGCAGATGAGACATCAACAAATTTACCTGGAACTACAAGAAAATTCCCATTTATTTCCGATGTTCTCAGATAAAACTTCGCAATCTTCACGGCAGCTTTCTGTTCGCATCTCTGTCGAGCAGTGAGCAAGAACAAAAAGAAAGACCATGCAGCACACTAGACACAAAACTTTCTCTTCACTCTTTACTAGTCATATTTTTGTTTCTTTCTCGATTCCCAACTCGTCTTTGTTATTATGATTATTCCCGTTTACAAATAAATGTATGTAAAATATTGTCATTGAAATGTATGAGAGCCATTTTATTTGTACAAATCATCGAGCAAAAACAAAAATAAGAATATATAGAAGAGAAGTAGATAAATAGAGAGAGAGACAAGTTTTCACTGTTTTTCTTATTTTCTATCATCTGTAATAGTCACATCACTGAATGCAGAGGTTTCCTACACGAGAAATCACTCGGGATGATGAAGTTTGAAAAAAAGAAAACAAACAAACAAACAAGCAGAAAAAAGATGTTATGAACGAAAACGAATTTGAACAACGTGAATACATATATGAATAAGATATGAGTTGGACTGAGCCAGCAGCCAAACGAGTAAGAAAATCTAATCGATATCACATATTGAATATGTTTATCTACGAATTTCGAAAGAACTGAAATGAAACAAGAAAAAAAGAGGTTGATTTCAAGGAAAAACATTGGTGATTTTCAACATACGGGAAACCATCCTGATGAGTGATTTTCTGGTTGAAGTGCCAATCTCGGTATAGCTAGATTTGGATTCAATGCTTCAACAAATTCATCTTCCATGTCATCATCTTTAGTCATATCGTCCAGCATATCAGTTACTAATTCAATATCGTCAAGTTCGCGAGAATCCGAAAATGTACTTTCAGCTCCTGACGGTTCATCGAATCTTTCGTTGCTTGGCAAACTGTTCAACGTGCCAAGAATATTGACCATTTGTGGTCGCGGAATATGACCTTTCGACATTGGTATGCGGTTTTCTAGCTCATCGAATATACCAAAATCAGCTTCGGGACGTTGGCCATTGGCACGATAAGTTGTGTTGTACGTTGTCGATGAGCTCGACGGGAATGAGTCAGATGCATCGACATATTGTTCATCGTAGGTATTGTCTAGACTGAAAGCATCCCAAGTATTTAAAGCTCGACTACCAGTGCCCATGGTCGGAATATGAGCACGTGGAATAACAAATTGTGGACGTTGTACGGGCACTTTCACGTCACGATCGGATGGTTGACGGTTTTTGATAAAGTAAAATACGCACATAGCTAGAGCAATGATGAGTAAAAGACCGGCAATCGCACTGACAACGGCAACAATTACAGTCCAATTGGTTCCTGAAGATGACGATCCAAGGGTAGGTGTTACAGTAGTGACTCGACAAAGGTATCCTTCGTAACCAGAAAAGCACGTGCAACTGGTCTGATTGTCCCAACAGACACCTACACCCGTATAAACGCATTCGCGACAAGCCGGTTCTGGCGCCGTAACATTAACTGAAATCGAAAAAAAAGAAGCAATTATAAGAGAAGTTAAGCGTTCGATTGAATGTTACCTAGAGTATTCGTTGCCGGGTTCATAATTATTTTTATCAGCGATAGAGAATAACTGTCATTATAAACAACATTGTCATCGAATAAAGCGTTGACCAAATTTATACGTTGAGTAACGTTGAGAAGAACATTCAATGTTACCATAAGTTCAAGATTAGGAGGCGAGGCATCCCTACGAATTCATTCGAATCGATCTTTTTTATACAATCTCGCTATCCAACTTACTGTGTATCATACAAGTTTATGCATGATCCATTGCATGTTATATTCATGCCTGATAAGATATATGAAATCTACAAATGAAAGGGTTAGAAACGAGGGTTTTCCGATCAAAACTAATTAAAATCATACGTTCGTTTGTATCGAAGATGAAGCTGGTGTGTCGATCGATATCACACGACTGCTTGCTTTCAATTTAAAGAAGAGTAAAAGCCAAGTTTGACCTGAAATAAAACGGCATTCAAACAACGAGCAAAAAATCTTGTCCTTTTACCAGTAGCATTGACACAATCAGATCCATTGTAATAAGTAAATGGATGATTTGGGCATTGGCAGGTCTGCCGAGTTTCATCTAACGCAGAATCAACGAGTTTATAGTTCGACGATGGACATTCGCATCGGCCCGTTATCGCACTACAGTTTGCCGGTGCTTCACATTGATTTTCACAGTATACAGAATAATCTGTAGGTAAACAGGAACTATTTGAACTGATCGCATTTCCATATTGTTGTGTATAATCGCCTGCGACGAATAAAACATACTACACTGCGTTTTTTCATGATCTTTATGAACATACCTCCTAATGAATAATTGTAATTACATCGACATTCAAACGAGCCTTGAATATTTGCACAGTAGGTGTTACTATATGACGAGCAATTATTAGCACCAGTAGCACATTCATTTATATCAACACAAGAGTTATTGATCAACTTAAGAAAAGATTCATTGAGTTCATGAAATTGGAACATTTCCTTCTCTAACCTGATATCCAGTTAAGCAATTGCACTGATAACTTCCAATCGTATTCACACATACTGAGACGCCAACATTACACTGATTCAGATCACTGGAGCATTCATTAATATCTAGGCATATATTTTTTGAACAAAACAGCTTCATCTCTGATCAACAAATCTTACCAGTGCAATAATTGCTTGTCGAATTCAATTGATAGCCCACTGCGCATATAAGAACAGCTCGTCCCGTACTAGGATCCGTCAAACAATCCTTCTGAGTTGTATTGACTGTGTTGTTAGCTGAAGAGAAAGATGATTCTTTCTAGGTTTGGTCAACTCATACTATCGAACGAAACATACCACATTGGTCTATCTGCTTAGAGCAAAATGGTGGTTCGTATCCTGGATCACAAGTACAGCTTTCATTAGCGCTCGTCGCATTTGCATTACAGGTACCAAAATTGCATAGACATGTTTCATTACAACCATAACCATAATTTAGATTTTCGCACGCTACGATAAAGAAAACGTTTCCGAAAATCTTATCAGTTAGACATATACATACGTATGCATTGTTTGCCATCAATAGAATACTGCAGTCCAGCTTGTTTCATACAGTTACATTGATAAAGTCCATTGACAAGTTCACAAAAGCCTGGACAAGTCGATTGACACCAAGCTACAATACAAAACGACTTATCCCTATACATAAGCCATCTTTCTCAAAATATTCTTACGGATGCACGTGTTATTTTCTTTGACAGTACCATGTAAACATGATATAGTATTGTTATCAACATTGCTAGTACATGTATCATTCACGCAAAGGCTTGCATTATCTATTCAAACACATATTTAATTGAAAAATATCTATGCCATACTACATACAAACGCAGGTTCCCGTCGTATTAAAAACAAGACTACATGAGCATGTATAATGGCCATTTGAGTATACGCATTCTTGAGATTCATTACATGGAGATGAATAGGTACCATTCGTATACGGCTCAATACAATTGTTAATAGCTGTAAAAGATAGTTTACATACACATTTCAAATCCGGAGGGAAAACTCACCAACACACGTTCCACTTTCAAATCGATAGCCACTTAGACAATCACATGTAAATGAACCAATAAGATTCACGCATGTGCCATTTCCACATCGAGAGGAATTCGTTTGACATTCATTTTCATCTGTATATTCGAACATAGATCATCTTCTGTTGAATACCTTACACAACTTACCTTCACATGTATATTGATTTCTTGTCTTGTATCCTGCTGAGCATGTTCCATTGCAAATATACGACTGGTTTTGTGCTAACTGTTGAGCCGGACTCAACGGAATGCATTGTGTGCCATTATTCCAATTGATTCGACAGGCACTAGTGGAATTGCAGCCATCATATGAAAGTTGACAGAAAATTCCTAGAGCGGTAGAAATTTCAAGTGAGAATTGAGCTTGTTTCTATTGGATGACTTACCATCGTATTGATCAGGACAATCACACGAAGCAACGGCATAATTTTCAGATATGATCGTTGTTTGCGCATAATTACAGTAAGAACTGTTTATACACAGACATGCGATGATATTCAAGTACTGGATGATTGTAGAATTCGTGCCGTATGTGATCGTTAGGCTATAGAATAGAATAATCAAAAAAAAAACTAGTCAGTCGATCTGATAACTACTTACGAGACATCGACATATGTATCCGTAGTAGATGGTATTAAAATATCGATCGATGATCCTTGGAATGCACTGTTTTGTATCGTACCATTCCTGGAAATAGTAACCAATGTGCTACTTGCTCCACTGATACTGATTGGTAATGAATAGGTACGATTTTGTGTGTAATAAGGTAACGGTATTTGAACAGTAGATGAGATGTTAACTGTCGGCACGGTTTCAGCTACAAATACATGTGGATAAAAATCAGAGAGATTTCAAAACGTAGGTCTTACCAAATGTTGCTCTCGAGTCTCTGTATGAATCTAATAGTAGAGCTGTTGCGCCGCTAGTAATTGGATTTATCCGAACGATATAGTCATGAACACATTCGAAATTTGATGAGCATGTTTGATTGACTTCACTTTGGCTTAGATGTGAATTTAGAGTTGTAAGTACACTTGATGCATTATTATAGTACCAGTTGACTAACGTCGACGGTAAGATTGGGTTTGTGATGTTTGCTGTTGTGTCATTTGGTGCTCTCCCTGAGAGAGAGAGTAGCAGTCACATTTGAAACTGAAAAGCTAAACAACTTACATGAAAGACAAGCATTTAAAACATCCACATCGTTGACTGCAGCTGATTGATTGTTTGCAGATAAAATTGAAATCGTTTGATTCGTTCGTCGATTAACTAAATCATCACCGTACATTCCGTTGAAATTGCCTGCTAAACCTTCGACAAGACTGCGATATTTGTCTGGTAGTAGAAGGATACATTCAAGATTTTCGGCCGTAATTTGACATTGAATTGATAAACCTGACCAGAGAGCGAACGTCAACTGTGGAACAGTTGTGTTTGAAACAGATACACCCATTTGTCGTACGCGGTACATATAAATATCATCGACATTCGTGGTATTCGCTGAATCATAGTTTAGATTATTTGCCAAAACATCTGTCAATGATATATTTTGCAAACTATTGCTGGCTGTGAATCCTATTGATAAACAGAAAAAGAAATCAGTATATACTTTAGCAAATTAGTCGTTTCTCTTACCGAATTTCCCGTTGAGATTACTGATAACAAATGTATAATTTGCCGCGCCGATGATGTAGCTTGAAAATATCGATGCTGAGCCTTGCATTCGTTCAACATATGGTAATGCTGGTGCGATCGATGCAGAACGGACATATATATAGAATAAATCTTCGGGATAGATCAGACTGCTGTCAGATACGTTGATATTATTCAAATTGGCTTGAGCGATCTGCTTAGCCGCAGTCGTAGTTTGTGCCAACACGAAAAGACCTTGAACATGACACGTGTAACGCCCATTATCAATCGTATCAATATGTGGATCACCCACACCCGATGCTAAAAAGAGATGTTTGACAGAAGTTCAGATAGAAACGGTTAAGAAAGTGTTTTCTTACATGATCCAGGTTGTTCATATCCGCTGCAACTACTTGTTGGATGAATTTGATAGTAAAGACGGCAAGGATCATTGACTGATGGTCCATAAAAGAACACCGGTGAGCAACATTGATCACTTGAAAGAATTACGATGATGACTGTTTGTTACAATTCGTATAAATCGAACTTACTGGAATTGACTTCGTCGCTGCCAGGGAAACGATCGAAAGAGAACATTCGGATTAGATAATACTGAACCAGCAAAATCACCAGACGTCAATAAAACGCCAGTATTTCTTTTATAACAACATGTCTAAAGATTGGAACTTTAGTGTTATTATTCTTGGCGCAAAGATACACTTGATTACCTGAGCTCGGAGACTTTTTGAAATTCCTCCGACACGAATTCGATTGATAACCATTGGTCCATAACAAACAATACTTTGTGACCATTCGAAAATGGTTTCACTTTGTAACGCATTGAAGCGCCGATCATTCTGTGCTTGGCTAAGCGTACACGGGCATGGAATTCTTGGATTATTTCTGCGAAAAACCAAACACTAAGCAAGAAATAACAATTTCTAGTTACATACATAATATCGTTGAGATTTTCCGAAGGATTTAAAGCATTATAAGCTGCTTCTTGTAAATACGATACTTCGCATTGAGTTAGAAATCGACCACCAATATAGAAGCTCTTGTGTGAAGCTTGCTCTAGAAAGGAAAAATAAGGGTATGCATTTTTGTTCTTGTTGCAATAGCGTATTTCATTTTAGTACTTAGAAATGCAGCATTTTGTTTGTATGATGGATCGTTGAGAACTTGAGATAGAGAGGATCCTCCACGAAAACCTAAATGCACTCATTTGCATAAGATCATCATTAGCTTTCTGTTTAACATACCAACGAATGGTCGAAGCGAACCGAGATTGCTTGTCAGATTACTGTAGTCAAACGACAGGTAAGATCGTAGAATTGGATATGATGAAGTGGAAGTCTCATATGTATCGATTAAGAAAGCAGAAAATGTTAAACTCTAAAAGATCGAATTTTCATCAGAAAAACTAGGTTATTGAGAACGAAATATTATACTATCGATTGATTATTTTCCGGTAATTGATAGAAGAGATTTTGCCATTCGATTCGAACAGCACGACTTGCGGCAAAATTTAATGAACAAGATTTTGTTGGACATGCTTCACTTATCGTTCGTTGTATAATGGGATAATACACACTTGCATCGCTTTGACTAGCATTGATTGAATTAAACCAGCTAACTGTTATGTTTGAATATGTCTACATAGATACATATGAGTATGATCAGCTGATTTGAGTTGAGAAAAGCAACAATGTGATGCTGAAACTTACGCTATCATAGCTGAGATCGGCCCAAAACGGAGCTGCTATGGTTTGGCCAGCTAATTGAGGAAAGGCCGATTGAGTCATTGTTTGGCCATAAAAAGGTGCGCCGAGACCGACATAGCCTTTATTTGCGATCTAGAAAATCATCAATAAAGCCTCATTCGTATATCAGCGTTCATTATACCCAAAGACGATTGATCGATTGGCCAAAGAACTCCATTGTGTTTGGTAACGTATACGAAAACGTTTCTAAATTCGGATCGCGAATACTGCTTGTCAGTGTAGCAGTGATCGCTAAAAAGAGTTGATAAAACCAAAAGCAATGCTAGTTGTTCGGTTCTGATTTAGAATTAGTACGATTTACTTTCACAAGGTGGAGAACCAACGCATAGTTGGTTCTGTGTTGCATTACCACCACCGCAGTCGCTGCTACTGCAGCTTTGGCCAGAAAACGAGTCCACGCATGCCCGAACCACTTGTTGATACGCAACACCACACGACGGCGAACAATTGCCGATCGGCACCCAATTTGTCCACGCACAATCTGCAAACAAATTATACGAAGGATGAAACTTAACACGAATGATGCCAAATGCACTTACTTCGGGCGACCGTAGTTGTGGTCGTCGTTGCCGTCGTAACTGTCGTTGTGCTTGTCGACGTAGCCATAGTGGTAGTACTGCTTAGAATTGAACTCGTGCTGGTACTCGTCGTTGTGGATGTAACGGTGCTTGTACTGGTTGTAATTGTAGCACTCGTTGTAGTTGAAGCCGTGTCGGTGGTCGTTGTAATCGTGCTTGTAGTAGTAGTTGAACCCGTATCTGTAGTGGTCGTAGCTGTACTAGTAGTCGACACGCTCACAGTTGCAGTTGTGGTGCTCGTTGTGGTAGTAGCGGTATCGGTAGTCGTTGTAGTTGTACTAGTAGTCGACGTGCTCACAGTTGTAGTTGTAGTACTCGTTGTAGTTGAAGCTGTGTCGGTTGTCGTTGTGGTGGTACTAGTAGTCGACATGCTTACAGTTGTAGTTGTAGTGCTCGTTGTAGTTGAAGCTGTGTCGGTTGTCGTTGTGGTGGTACTAGTAGTTGACGTGCTCACAGTTGTAGTTGTAGTGCTGGTTGTAGTAGTAGCGGTATCGGTAGTCGTCGTAGTTGTACTCGTAGTCGATGTGCTCACAGTTGTAGTTGTAGTACTCGTTGTAGTTGAAGCTGTGTCGGTTGTCGTTGTGGTGGTGCTAGTAGTTGAGGTGCCCACAGTTGTAGTTGTAGTGCTGGTTGTAGTAGTAGCGGTATCGGTTGTCGTTGTGGTCGTACTAGTAGTTGAGGTGCCCACAGTTGTAGTTGTAGTGCTCGTTGTAGTAGTAGCGGTATCGGTAGTCGTTGTAGTTGTACTAGTAGTCGACGTGCTCACAGTTGTAGTTGTAGTACTCGTTGTAGTTGAAGCTGTGTCGGTGGTCGTTGTAGTAGTGCTTGTGGTAGTGGTTGAACCCGTATCTGAAGTGGTTGTAGTTGTACTAGTAGTCGACGTGTTCACAGTTGTAGTTGTAGTACTCGTTGTAGTTGAAGTTGTGTCGGTGGTCGTTGTAGTAGTGCTTGTGGTAGTGGTTGAACCCGTATCTGAAGTGGTCGTAGTTGTACTAGTAGTCGACGCGCTCACAGTTGTAGTTGTGGTGCTCGTTGTGGTAGTAGCGGTATCGGTAGTCGTTGTGGTGGTGCTTGTGGTAGTGGTTGAACCCGTGTTTGTAGTGGTCGTAGTTGTACTCGTAGTCGATGTGCTCACAGTTGTAGTTGTAGTGCTCGTTGTAGTTGAAGCCGTGTCGGTTGTCGTTGCGGTGGTACTAGTAGTTGACGTGCTCACACTTGTAGTTGTAGTACTCGTTGTAGTTGTGCTGTTAGTAGCAGTTGAAGCGGGGTATGTAGTGGCCGTGGTTGTGCTGGTGTTAGAAGAGATGTCTGTTGTAGTGATAATTTTGTTTGTGGATACCTGAGTGGTAATGGCGCCTATCAGTGTTGTGTTCATGGTAATGCCGGTTGATGTAGTGGAAGCAGATATACCAGAAGTTGAGGGGCTTAACGGCATTTCTGTGGTTACACTTGAGCTGTTGGCACTAATAGTGGCAGAAGCGGATTCTGTTGTGCTTCCAAGAGTGCTCTGGTTTGCGGTTGTTATAGCATTACTTGTATTATCTGGAAGTGTAGGGGTATAGGATGTAGACGTTTCAGTCGAAAATAATACGGTTGTAGTGTTAGCTGGTGTGGCAGTAATTGAACTGGTTAGAACGGTGTTGGGAGCCGATGGGGACGAATCTTTCGAGGTGGCAGGCGAAGTCGAGAAAGTGAAAGAAGTGAGTATAGTAGAAGGTTCAGTCGTTTCAGATGCTGTTGTGATACCGGTATTGGTTGTGCTGTGTGAACTTGTTGATCCAGTTTGAGTGCTGGATAAGTATAGTTCGCTTGTGGTGGCTGTGGTTGATTCGATAGCAGCTGTGGATACTTCGACAGTAGCTATTCCTGCAGAAGAAGTGGTGATTGTCGCGTTTACGGAGCTGGATGGGATAGTGTTGGTGGTAGTGGCAGATATTCCATTAGTCGACCCTATGTTAATAGACGTTATTGAACTCGAAGTAGTAGCAGGGGTAGAAGTTTCAAGTGTTCCCGCGGGTGTTGTGGTTAATGTGCTAGCCGGTGTAGAAACTTCACTGGCAATGGTTCGTGTGGGCCCAGATGAACTAGCGGAGCTAGAGAGAGTCGATGTTAAGGAAGATGTCTCTGCTCCTGTGGCTACTGTTCCACTAGCTGTAGGTGTGACAATGGGGGTAGTCAGGTTTGATGTACTGGCCGATGTAGGAGATTCGTTTGTCATTGCTAACGATATTTCACTATTGGTGGATGTGCTCAATGAGCTAGATAGTCCGCCTGCTGATGTCGTTGAGGGTGTGCCAATTGAAGTAACAGAAATTGGAACAGTGGTGGACGGCGAAAATGCAAATGTTTCAGTTAAAGTTGTTCCAGTGATCGAAGTTGATGTACCGATTGATGTGGAAGCTTCACTTGTGATGGCTGGTACCGCTCCACTGACAGTCGTTGCAGTAACGGAACCCGTTATGTCTGTGTTGGCACCCGACGTAGGTATTTCACTTGCTGAGTGAGTTGAAGCTGTGCTAGCCAATGTGGAAGACTCAGATGTCACTGTTCGAGTTGTATCAGTAGCTGTAATTGTAGTGATTGAACTTGTTGAAAAAATTGCTGCAGTTCCTGTAGCGATGGTTCCACTGGCTGCGGTTGAGGTAATCGAAGCAGTTGAAGTCAATGTACTAGTTGATGTAGCCAATTCGCTGACAAGCGCAGTGGAGCTTGAACCAGTACCCGATGACGGAGATTCAGATGCTTCAGTTTCTATTGCTTCAATGGTTGTAGTGTTTGCTGTAGACGCTTCGCTAGGGACGGTAGTCGTAACGACTGAGTTCATTACACCTGTATTAGCACTTGATGTTGGTATTTCACTTGCAGATGTAATTGAACTGAAAGCAACAAAGGGTGTGGAAGTTTCGAATGTTCCAGTTTGAATGGTTCCACTGTTTGTCGTTGTGTCGATCAAAGTGCTTGAACTTGTATGAGTACCTATTGTTGACATACCTACCGATATAAAAGCTTCACTAGTAATTATGGACGAGCTGGCTGAGCTTGCTGTTTCAGCGGTTGAGATTGTATTGAGAGGAGTAGTAAGTTCTGTAGCCACCGTTATGTTACTGAAACTAGTTGCATTGGAGGACACCATTGGCGTGGAAGTAGCATATGTCGATGCTGCTATCGTCTCGGAAGCCGTCAACGTACTAGTAGCTGATGTTGAGGCTTGATGTGTTACTACCGTGTTACTAACTTCTAACGTTGAAAACTCCATCGTAGTGATATTTTCCGCCGTCGTTACAGAAGCTGTTTCTGTAGTAGACAGAGACACGGTCGGCATGCTTGTTATATGAGTAGTCACTGTTGTTATTTCACCCAACGTCTCACTAAAGTTAGTCGTGCTCAGAGTATCGGTATATGACGTAGCTTCAGTAGTGACAATATTTGTCATCGATATATTTTCGGTAGATGCTTCTGGTGTTGCTGTAGTCGTATCGTATTCGGTAGTTATTATTATCGTTGATAGCGTACTTGTAGTAGCATTTAATATAGTTGGACCAGTAGTTTCTGTTACTTCTATGGTTTCTGACGAAGACGTAATTTCAGCTGTTGCCGTAGTGGCTAATAATGTTGTTTCTGTAGTTTCGTTAGAAGGTACACTCGTGCTGACAAATTGAGATGATATTTCTGTTTCCATCGTAGATGCAGTCGATGTTATTGTCGAGATAAGTGCGGAAGAAGTTGATGTCGTCGAAGTGCCGCTTGTTGTAGTAGTTGACAGATAACTTGATGTTGGTTGAACAAAATCTTGACAGAATTGTCCTTGATAGTTAGGATAACAAACGCATGAGCTATTATCGGTGGTACAATTTCCTGTGAAAGAATACTCGCATTCTTTACAAACTGGTATGACACTCGTAAAATTCACTAGAACAAAAAGAAAACAGTCGAATACTTGTGTTAACCTTCAATGAATATCAAAGAGGAAAACTTACAAAAGTCTGAAGTGTTTGGATTCATTATTATTCTTACTGTCAGAAGATAACTGTCATTTAAACTAACATTGTTCATAAAGAGACCATTTACCAGTGCAATACGTTCTGAAACATCGAGCGAGACATTTAATGTAATTAAATACTCGATATCAGGTGGATTGATACTACAATCATGAAAAATATAGAATCGATGACATCTGTACGATAAATAATCAGAATTTGTACTTAGTTTGGTTTATTTGAACGCACGTGTCATTACATGTAATGTTCATTCCATATAAAACGTTTGATATCTACAAGAGATAAACGGTTCTTTAGATGAGCACAAAAGTAAACAGTTGAAAATGATCACGTCGTACTTCATTTTCAAGGGTAGATGATGTGGGTGACCCAACAGGAACTGAACGAACTTTCCGCGCGCTACTAGATGTAGGCGTGAAATAGAGAAAGAATATTGTTGTTTGTTGTTGTAAACTCTGTGTTGATGTTTCAACATAACTCGTCGACATTGTTGGTTCAGTAGAACTAGTGGTTTCAGACGTTGATTCGCTCGACACGGATATGGAACTCGTTGTTGGAATCGTCACGGTCGAAATGATACTAGCTTCTGTTTCAGATTCGGTAGCTAAATTGAAGAAGTAGTGCTATCGCTTTTTCGATTATTTAGCATATTACCTGTGACTTCTGTTGATGACTCAGTAGTTATTTGCAAAGAACTATTTTCCGTAACAGATACTACTGTAGTAGAACTCAAAGTTGATGATTCAGCGACTGCTAATTGTGTGTCAAAGAAGAATTATAGTAGGTTTATAACAGAGAAGCTTTCTTACTTTCTGATGTTGATTGTTCAACACTAGTTTGTGCAGTTGAAGATGTTTCACTGGTGTCTGCTTGACCACTTGTAATAGTTTCTGATGAACCCGTTGCAGTTGTCGTCTCTGTAGCCGATACAGTGCCTAGAAATACACAGTTCAGATGCGAAAATCCAGCAAATGTGTTCTGCTCAATGTTTTCTCGACAATTCGCTCTGATACATGCTTTCATAGCAAGTACTTACCACTGACTTCTGTGGTGACCGATGGTATTGTTGTGGAAATGGTTTCTGACACATTAGTTGTTAGAGTAGAATCAGTTGACTGCTCAGTAGGACTAAGTGTCGTTAATTGGACGAGCGTGCTGGCAGATGTCACGTCTGTTATGACTGTTTCGGATGTTGCTTAAATGATCGAAAGAGAAAAAAAAAATAGTGTCTTTCCTTGAAAGTCTTTTAGTCCGATCAATGTCATCAAATAGTGTTTGTATTATACTTTAGTTAAGTAAAAGATTGAAGAGGTTTTCTTTTTCAAGTGAAAGACAAAGATCAACGTCGATAAAACATAATAAGCCAATAAAACGACGAGTTTTATTCGAGTACAGAAAACTCGAAAGGAGAATATGATTCGACTCGGAACTGCTAGATGAAAATAACAATAACAACAACTTACTTTCAAATTCACTGCCACTTCCATCAAACGCTGGTGACACTAACGATAAACTAAGCGCCCAGGCATTAACATTGGCATCGGAGAGTAACGATCCATCATCATTTTCTTCATTCGATAATTTCGATTGTAACGGACCAGTTGACATCGATGAATTATTCGAGAGTACATCACGTTTACGAAGCTCATGAGATTTATCTTTCTTAGTCGATATTGGCAATCGATGCGCAAGAACCTCTGTACCTGCTAGACGGTACCCTTCCTCAATCGGTTGTATATTTTGATTTTTCGCATATAATGGTGGTTGAAAACGTGTATCTGTATCATCGGTATTATCATTTGATGTCAATTCACGTATGGTTCCTGTGAGTTCGGAATAGATCTGTTGATTGTGTATACTTAGCCAATCATCGCGTTTCGTACTAGAACCTACACGATATAAAATATACATTTAGATGTTTTTACGATTGTTTGTGTTGAATGTGTCATATCTTCATAGAAACATAAACAATGAATCAGATACGATGATTTCGAAATATTATTCAAAAGACGCAGAAGACAAAATGAGATCGAGCTTTTCAGAGCTTCCTTTTATCCAAAGTTAATTATTTATATTTGACTCGACAAAAAAAGCTCCATAAATCTATCACTAATATCTCATTGAAGTAACATATCCCGGTGCATGACAAATACATGCTACCTTTTTTTTAATATCTGACTTTCAATATGAAGGTTATCCATGATTATATTCTACTGAGGAAGTAAATTGAAGTTCTCTTAGTGTATAATCATACACACGCAGGTAATTTTCAAACTTTACAACCCCTTATTATGTCCCTATGTACTTATAGAGCACTAAACTTTGTTTTACCTGTAACAGTACTTAATGCGGATGTAATTGCTATTAAAGATAGGAGATAAGCGACTGGTAGGAGTCGTGCGGAGACGATTGTACGTTGTACGTTCATGATGCGACAACAATCTGAAACAATTGATAATCATTTATGAGAAAAAAAGATTCAATGATAATCAAAGAGATGAAAGAAACGAAATGAGCTGTATGGATGTGTGTGTGTATTTGGCAGAAGGAGAATTTTGAAAGAATTCAAAAGGAACAATACAGAATTGGACAGAAAAGAAAAAAAAGAACGGAACTGAATGAGAGAGAAAGAGCGCAAGTAAACAGAACTTGAATCCATGAAACGACTAGTAAAATTCAAGTTGAAAGAGAAGAGAAGAAAAAAGTTCCTTCATTCCGTGATTAATACTGCCTTTGTGACAGAGATCTGTACACAAAAAAAAATGTAGCTTTGGTTTTGAATGAAAAAATCGTGTAGGGAGCCCATCAAACCTACACACTTGAGTCGTTCGCTATTGTAAAGTTGAGACAGCCTTAAGTAAAATAAGCTTCTAGAAAACTTGTTCTACCATTCAAAGTAAATCAAGGTAACCATCTCTTCCTTCTTCTCACTGTACGATTCTCAAGCAAACGCGGCAGAGAAAAGGAAAGAGAGAAGTAGAGACCAAAAGAGAGAGAGAGAGAATATCCTCTTGACACCTACATTCATGCGAAAGCTTAGTAATATATTGTTTTTACAGTTCGTCAATGTGTTAAAATCATGCTTCTCATTTGCTTAAATATGTTTATATCGAACAGTTTCTGTATAATAAGTGCATTCTTGATTGGTCTTTGAAACAGAATAACACGGATGAAGCTTAGTTAACTAAAAAGAAAAGTTCTTTGACAAGACATGATGTTGGAATCTTGTGAGATATATCAAACGATATCTAATGAATGAACATTCGTTTGAAAAGTTTATTTAATGGCTTTCATCATATTTTCAATACATAAATACTTGCTTTGATAGAAGCCTGAACTGCACTCTTCCCATATGTATTAAACATCATTATCGAACACAAGAGAAGTCAAAAAAAGTACTGAAGATTATTTAGTTACTCTCCCACTCTCTCTCTCTCTTTGCCGCTTTCTTTCAAAGTCGATTGAACAATCTTTTCTTCTTCAATTTTCTTCTGTTCTTCACCTTTTATTACATGCACTTGTCTTTCGGTGCATTCGAATTTACGTTAAATTGCTGACAAGTTCGCAGAAGAAAGAAGACGAAGAAAAAACTTCAATTTGAATAATCAGACATACGACATGATTTGCTCTGAAACATTCCGATTTACTATGTACCTAGACTCATCCGAACAAAGGAGATTTTTATTTTGCGTACCAATATGATAGATATAATCTTCGGAACTATAAAGTCAATAGACAGTCACGCTATAGCCTTGAGCACCTTTAGTGTCTTAACCAGACACGCCTGTCGATGATGAAAGCGACACAAGTAATCAGCTCATTGAGATATTTGTGCCAAATGTAATCCATATGCAAACAGACTTGAAGAAGAAGAAAAAAAAGTGAATTAGCCGTGTAGAAGTAAGCATCCGTAACTGCTGTTTTCATCTACACCATTAGGATAAACATTTACAAATCATTGGCCAAAGTACATTTGAATCAAGACAAGTTTGTTTTTGCTTTTTTTCGTAGGAAAAACGAAATTTTCTACGCTGCAAAATAAAACGACACGATGCAGGAGGCGTTAAAACGGCCCTCATCAACACCACTGATTCCGGCTGAGTGCGCTCCACCTCAACGACAATAACAACAGAAGCAGTTGCAAAGAAATGCCTTCGTATCAACTTGAAATTCTAACGCGATAACAAGGTGACAGAGTACAAAAGTACATAAATTTTGACAAGAATAATCTCTGGAAAGATTAGATGAAATCGAATCTGATCTATGAATGATGACAGCTGAATGATTTTTCCTTGGAACAGAATTTGACGAGAACCGCGAACTAAAACAATAATCAACTATCATCCCGCTACGTCAAGCTTCTGTTTGAATAGATTTCTAGAGGTTTCATTAATTTCAAGTGTTTGCTACCGAACACATTACGAAACGATTTTTTTGCGCTACAAAAAATCGAGACACGAACAGAGGAAAAAGAAAGGAGAGAAATCCAATCGACTAAATAGCAACGATACTTTGCCAAAGATCGCAGTTTCAAACGATAAAGCTAACAGGAAAATTGAATAATGACACATAATTTCGATAATTATACATGTCAATGGGTATCTTTTACATCGGGTAACATTGAATGCAAATGTAAAAGTACACGAGATCTTTCGGTTTTGAAAAATATTTTCCCCGGGAACGCGTTTCTTTTTTACCTTCTCAAGTAGACATAGCTTCATCTTATGTTTTTCAATATAATGTACAAGTGCAAAAGGAAAGAAAACATCCATCGTTTTTTTTATCAAAAATTCAAGTAAGGCGACGCGAATGAAACAAAAGCACACATCGCTTAGAGTGATGAAATTCCGCATCCAAATGCCTCAAAGCAGCAGCATTCAGTAAAATATTCAGCAGACTATGAGTGGTCCAACTCGTTGACGAAAGAAAAGAACGAAAAGAATAGCGGAATTTTTAAACAATAGTACATCAGGAGTACGTAATTGCTGTTACTGACAACAAATTGGCTTGCGAAGTTATGTTTACATGGCTGTATGACTCATCGTCTTATTTTCGGACGAAGTCTAAACATTACTAATGGATGTGATTTCGGAAAGAAAAACATTGTAAATCACGACATAAATTGTGAATAAAATCTAATGCGTTCGTTTTTCTTTCGGCGGAGAGTGAATGTATGGTGACAGTAGTACGTACTCTTGAACTTCAGCGAATGGAATTTGTTTTTTTATTTTCTTTCGATTTCGTGCGCTTAATCAGATTTACTACAAATCATGCGACTAGATGTAATAACAATAAACTGTTTATTGGATTCTTGTTTTTCGAGAAGGAATTGACAGAAATTTCGAAGAACTGCACATTTATTGTGACCATCAACAAAAAAGGTTCACAGAGATAGACAAAGCGATAAGAGTGTATGCGTATAGTAAGGATTCGATTCTTAAAAAAATATAAACATCTTAATCACCAGAAAATGAATGATAAAAATAAAGGCGGCCAGCACTGTATGAAATAGATTGATGAATTGTAGTTTTATTTAAGAAGCTGAAATGAAAAGTAGAAATCAAATTTCGAAAGAAGGGTATTGATGCTCATACCGAGAAGAGACCAGTTGGTTTTGAGTCGACATTCGGTCTCGGTAGTTTCAAATTTGGATTCATTACTTCGAGCATTTCATTATCGTCGTAGAGTTCATCTAATGGATCGTGAAACGTCGGGTTTATATCTTCGTTGTCGATAATAGCGTCAAGCTCATCGATGGGATCGTAGCTACTCAATGTTGATGCTGTGTCCGACGGCAAACTAGCAAGTACAGCATTCGTGTTAGGTCTTGTTATCGTTGCGCGTAGTTTTTCACCCATCCTTTGATCAAGATCTTTGAAAAACGTGCTATCTGTTGTATTACTATCCGTCGGTTCGGACTCAGGTGGATGAGTGCTTGCAGTAGAGTTTGTCGGTTCTAAATTGGTTGGAGCATTGTCCGCGGTTACGGGCGTTGGAACTTTAGCACGGGGCAAATGCCATATACGACGAATCTGAAACTCTCTATTGAAAGACAGATTAGAGGCAAGACGAAATTGATTCAATCAAACGTACTCGGGATGATGATGTCGTCGGCGACGCCATGCTGCCATTGCCCAAAGGCAGCATGTCACCGCAGCAAACAGGCCAGTTAAGCCAGCCAGAACACCAATGATAATCGGAGTCCAACGCGAGAGTGAGTATGTAGATGCGACTGGTTTCGGGCGTGGCTTTGAACACAAATTACCTTCATACGGTGATGACGGATCGGCCTCGTTCACATAACATCGGCATTTCTCGATGTTCTGTGACGGATTACACACTCCACGCACTGGATTTACACCGCATAAACTACATGTGTCGATAAGAAAACACGACGTTGTATTCATGACAAGAACTGAAAAAGGCTTGAATTTCTACTACCTAGTATGCTACAAATTGAATATTTACCCATCTCATCATCTCTTCCGCATGGATTCTTACTAAATACCGTGACATCTCGGCCTCTGGTTAGATTATCAATGATTTCATACAAATCATTCAATAATGTAACGTTATTATTTGGAGTTCGCACAACCAGCGTCACATTTACTTTTCCGGGCGTTGCACATCTAAAGCAACAATGAATCAACGCTTTTTTGACTGAACATATGTTTACTTACGACAATGGCTGATTATAAATAGGTTCAATCTCATATAATGAATTGCTTTTACTCACACCTGCTATTATCTGAACGGAGAAGATTTATACATAGTAAAAGTACACTAAAAGAAGACCTACATCTGCTAGAGTTTCATTAGCATTCGAACAATTCAATATCAGCAAAATGGTTGTCACATTTGGTAAATCTAAATCAACATTTACCATGTTTCCCTTTCGAGTGATATTTGAACCATCTACCTGTTTCATCGGGTATCGTGGTTGTCATTGGTGTCGTAGTAGTGGTTGATAAGAGTGTTTGTGAGGTAATAGCTGAAGTGATCGAGTGATCAGTTTCCGTAGTTACTGGTTCTGATATTAACGAAGCTCCTGTCGTTTCTTGGACTGCAGTTGCTGATGTTTCTGTAATTACTACTCCTGTTGTTGCGGGCGTACTCGTCGTTCCTTCGACCGTGGTTGATTTTTCTGTAGTTATTACTTCTATTGCTGAAGGTGTACTGGTCGCTCCTTCCACTGCAGCTGCTGAAGTATCTGTGGTTACTACTCCCATTGTTGAAGGTGAAGGTGTACTGGTCGCTTCCTCCGCTGTAGTCGCTGAAATATCTGTAGTTACTACTCCCATTGTTGAAGGTGAAGGTGTACTGGTCGCTTCCTCCGCTGTAGTTGCTGAAATATCTGTAGTTACTACTCCCATTGTTGAAGGTGAAGGTGTACTGGTCGCTTCCTCCGCTGTAGTCGCTGAAATATCTGTAGTTACTACTCCCATTGTTGAAGGTGAAGGTGTACTGGTCGCTTCCTCCGCTGTAGTTGCTGAAATATCTGTAGTTACTACTCCCATTGTTGAAGGTGAAGGTGTACTGGTCACTTCCTCCGCTGTAGTTGCTGAAATATCTGTAGTTACTACTCCCATTGTTGAAGGTGAAGGTGTACTGGTCGCTTCCTCCGCTGTAGTCGCTGAAATATCTGTAGTTACTACTCCCATTGTTGAAGGTGAAGGTGTACTGGTCACTTCCTCCGCTGTAGTTGCTGAAATATCTGTAGTTACTACTCCCATTGTTGAAGGTGAAGGTGTACTGGTCGCTTCCTCCGCTGTAGTCGCTGAAATATCTGTAGTTACTACTCCCATTGTTGAAGGTGAAGGTGTACTGGTCGTTCCTTCCACTGCAGCTGCTGAAGTATCTGTGGTTACTGACCCTATTGCCAATGTCGATGTCACTTCTAAAGCAATCATTATACAACATAATCATGATCATTTGCATTCCGAGTTTCGAACGTCAAGTAGTTCTGCAACTTACCACTACTGTACTCAGCTGTCGAATATGATGCTAAATCAAGCAAACAATGTCACTTTCTATCCTAGTATTGCTAATCAACAGAACCTACTTTCTCCGCTTCCATCTGTTGTGAGCTCAACGTTTTCCAGTGCTTTGAACATATCTTCTTCGTTGACTTGAAGAAATTCGTTGATCTCGTTGTCCGCCTGAAGCAAATGTTGATGTTGGGATGAAGTATCGAGATCGGTATCGTAGCTAGGCTCATTCAACAATCGTCTACCAAGATAACCGAGTGAATGATTAGTCGTGGACGTGGAAGTGGTTGTTTTTGTCTTTGGTACTGTTGTACATGTTGTCGTTGACGTGTTGTATGTTGCAGCAGCTTGAAACGTTTTTGATGGTACACTCAGCTTTGATTTGCTCGCTATGGGTTTATCGAGATTTTCCGGAAGAAGTATGAAACCTTCATTGATTGGATGAATTTCAATAATTTTATTTTTGGACTTCGAGTCCAATGTATTCAATGACAGATCTTGAATATTGCTAGACCACGTCGGTTCGGAAGATGTTTCTGCAGATATTGCTATAATACCATTGTAGACTAGGACAAATAAAAAATTCGCAAGTTACAATTACGAAAAGAATATATTAATCACCTAATAGATATGTAATAAGCATTACTGAATATGGTCCGTTGAAATGGAAAACTGAATGATGTTGACACATGCTGAAAATAAGTCTAAAAAAGTGTCATTCTTGAATTCGGCAGAATATCGGATGCATTCGTTCTACTTCACTGAAATAGATTCTATTTTCAAAAGTACTGCTTTCGATTAAGCGAACTGGCAAGGTTGACAAACTGCACCAGCATTAAAAATATTCTGATATTTGAGATCAGGATTATCATCTACCGTACATGTCTACCTTATTACTACTAATATTTGTTTCTTGGTAAAGAGGAAAATAAAAAAATTTCCTTCGCAAAAAAGCTTCTCTGATTGCTAATGAACGTTAACTACTGTGCTTAAAGGATGAAGCCTAAGAAACTCGACAAAGAAAACAATCGATTGCCACCGCTTGACAAATATTCGTATCGACTTTTCGAATGACAAGTGATTTCAAATGACGAATAATGAAAAGAACTCAGGGTATTATTTTCTCTTTTCCGTTCTTCAAATCTTCCTTCATGCCATCCCACCTTCATATTTCCTTAATGTCTAATCTCTTTCATAACACAGATCCAATTACCTTCAATGGTGCGAAAAAAAATTTCTTTCATTTTCTTGCAGTATCAGTATTTACTTTCCATATGATTAATCTTTGGAGTGATGAAATGAAGATGTGATTGCCAAATTAACATGAAATTCTCATCTATGTCTGCCCGAGCTGCTTCATAACTTTCCGACTAATTATGCTCGAAAAATATCGAAGTCATTTGAAATAACATATGTGCAGTTTAATTGATTCAGAAGCTGGCATCGTTTTCTTTTTACTTTTTTTCTTCTTATGAATGTAATTTGATCCTTTCTAACATCAACAGAAGTTCGAAGGATATGGATATACCAGACGTCGTCGATATTGATTATGCTATCAACTGTTGTCACATAAACGATTGCAGATACGAAAATGAGTTCTTCAAAGGACTGCACGGTTTCCCTTAGTCAAATATTTTTTATTTGATTATTTATCGAACCGATCAGATAGGATTCATTCAATAGAAATCGGCAGAAAAATATTAATTCAGACGAGAAGATTTCGAAATAACGACATACTTAAGAAATCGATTCTCTCATGAAAATAACAACTGCTCAGTTTCTGTGTAAAGATAATTTGAATTTCTGACATGATGTTGTCGATCTTTTGCGGATTGTGTGATGCTTTGCTAGAGCAATGCTTTGACTTTTCTTATTTGTGAATAGCAAAATCCAAAGTAATACTATTAATGTACTGTTGAGCAACCCGAAAAGCTGTCGTGTACGAAGATTAGAGTTAGTTGCCGATTATAAACTTTATACGATTCTGTTCTCGGCAATATTACATCCATATCAACAAAGTACAATGAATCAAAACAAATGATCGGATTACCTTTCGCGAAAGCAAACTCAAAAAATAATTATATTAGTAATACATTTGCGTGTCTATGCAAATGACTTTCAGTGAAGATATGTGTAAAATGGTTGATGCGTAGGCGAACACTTCTCACAATACAACTGGTTTGGATATTTGCATAGTTATTTGGTATTTTTGTCATGTTTCAATAGAAACCGATCAGTAATCAACTATATTACACTCGGAAGACGAAGTTATCATTGAACAAAACATTCAAAAATTAAAATACTGTTCATTTTCTTGACTTTGAGTCTGTCGATTGAGTTCTATATATATGTCATCATTGTCGAGAATCGCATCCAATTCATAGATAGGATCGTAACTGTGCAATGACGATAGTGTGTCAGATGTTATATCAAATGTTCTAATGCTTCGCGTGGATGGTGATATTGTAGTAGGAGATTGTTCATTCAATAGTCGGTCAAGTTCTCGATAGAACTGACTGCCTATTGAATTCATTTCAGGATTACCCTGGCTTGTTTCATGAGTATTTAACGTTGACGTGACGCTTTCGACGTAGTGAGAGACCTGGTCTGGAGTGAGGGCAGCTGGTGGTTGAATTCGTGGCAAATGCCGTGAATGCTGAGCTTGTTGTTGAACTCTATTTGTAAACATATAAGCAACAATCAGTTAGAAGAACAAAAACCTTACGACGTTTTAATAGCTTGCTGTCGCAAACGGCGTCGACGCTGTAAAAATGTAATGACTATCAGATAAATGGTTATTATGAAAAGCAGGCCACATAAACCGGCCAAAATGCCGATCACGATTGGAGACGAGCGCGAGGATGGAACTTTAGGTACAGATGATTTTGTACAAAAATCTCCTTGATAGGATGACGATGGGTCTTCTTCGTTGGTAAAACAACGACATTTGCTAACATTTTGTTTTGGATCACAGACTCCACGTGGTGGATTCGCACCACACAGATTACATGTATTAATGAGAAAACAAGACGTCACAGTTTGAACTTCAGCTAAAAACGAATACAGAATAATTATCAAAATTTTTCATTTTATTACTCACTCGTAAACCCTTCTATTCCACAAGTGTTTGTACCATACACGCCTACACCCATGTGTGTTGCTATATTTCGCAGAACACGGTAAACTTCATTTAGTACTGTAGCATTTTTATCGGTGGTAATTGTTATTGTGGCATTCGCTTTCGTAGGTATTCGATAGCTAAATCAGAACAGAATCAGATCATGCAATCAGCACCTCGACTTATATACCAGTATGAATTTAAAGTGCCATTAATGTGAATAATAGGATACGTAAAACTGCTCGTAAAATTAGTCACTATCTAAATTTTCAAAAAAAGGTATATCAAGAGACTTTTATCCGAATACTCACTTCGTTCAATGTTTCACCAGCATTTGAACAATTCAATATCAGCAAAAAGGTTGTTATATTTGGCAAATCTAAAGTTACATCAATCTTGCTTCTCTTTTCAGTGACATCGAAACTATATACCTATCGTATCCGGCACCGTAATCGTCATTGTTGTTGTAGTAATGATTGATGTGAGTGTCTGAGAGGTAGCGACGGAAGTTATTGAGTGATTCATTTGAGTAGTTACCGCTTCCGAGCTTGACGCTGTCGTTGTTACGGATGTCGAATCTGAATCAAGTTATTATCCATCCTCGTCAATGACATGTTTCAAAAGTCAAGTAGTTCTGCAACTTACCACTACTGTACTCAGCTGTCGAATATGATGCTAAATCAACCAGACAATGTCACTTTCTATCCTAGTATTGCTAATCAACAGAACCTACTTTCTCCACTTCCATCTGTTGTGAGTTCAACGTTTTCGAGTGCTTTGAACATATCTTCTTCGTTGACTTGAAGAAATTCGTTGATCTCGTTGTCCGCCTGAAGCAAATGTTGATGTTGGGATGAAGTATCGAGATCGGTATCGTAGCTAGGCTCATTCAACAATCGTCTACCAAGATAACCGAGCGAATGATTAGTCGTGGGCGTGGAAGCGGTTGTTTTTGTCTTTGGTACTGTTGTACATGTTGTCGTTGACGTATTAGTCAAAGAGAAAATACGCATGTCTGGCGATAAATTGAATACACGATTCAGTTCAATTTGTTCGGATGTAATTCGAACAAAACTATGTACTAAAATAAAGATTGCACTCAATCGTAAAATAGGAAAAGAAAAGTTTTTACCTGACACAAACAGTAAAACGCATGTATTCACGCCATAAACATTCATTTGCATCTTTCTTTATTTTGTCGTTTTCTTTCGGTAAAAGTAGTACTGAAGTGAATTGTGCTAGGGTGTAAGATGTGCTGATTCAAACCATTGAATGAATTCTCACATTTTTATCGTTTGTCGAAAAAGATTCTCAAGTGATGTTATAAAAGTCGAAGTTCTACTTTGTCTTGTATTTTATCACAGACAACCTTGTCTTATTATTCTAGTAACTACTAACAAGGATTCGAAAAAGTGACGCGATAGATTGAAATAGTTTAACTTATGACTAGAATTTTGTTAACCGTTTCATAGTATTTGATTAAGAATCATATCAATAAATTTCGTTGACATTCCGTTCCGAATAGAACTGACTGCGGCATATTCAAAATTTTATTATTTCTTCTTATCTTTATGAGAATTGATTTGTTCTTTGAAATGAAAAGTGTATTATTTCATTGATTATCTTGTTTCTGATGAAAGAACCGTTTCTTAGTCAGAACGATCTATATCCAAGACTTCGATATACATGCAATGCACATGAATGCTTCTATCTCAACAATCGAAAAAGATAAACGAATAAAAAACTCGTTCAGATAGTGTACTCTGATAATCACTTGAAAAGGACATCATCTACAGAATGACAACTTCTATTGGTTCTCTCGTTTAGTTAGAATGAATGAATCATTCCTTCCTTTCGTCATGCATACGAATATACCGTCTTTCAATACTTTATTTTTCATCTAAATTGGTATTAACACTGAAAACTCTTCTCAAGGTTAATTATGTGTGGTATTTGCTTTTGTTTGCACACACAGGTAAAAACTTAACTTCGCCAATCAACGTTTCCCTACTAGCCAATCTTTCATTTTAGCCCAATGTAGCTCCGATTGACTATACTCCATTAAATGCACGTGGTCCGGATTTTCAAAAACAATATGGACCTATTGCTCTCACCCCAGATTTATATGTAACATTTGCTGTCAGTGTTCTTTCAATTCGAGGCTTCAAGCAAGAACAACCATTCGTGGATGACGATGGAAATATACTTATATATAACGGAGAAATCTACGAAGCACCTTTTCAAGTGAGTTATTGTAAAACTTTTTCGTTGCGAAGAAAACCTTCGTTACTTACAGATTAAAGAGAGTGACAACGATGGAGTCCTTCTGTTTGAACATTTTAAACAATGTTCTACCGATATGGATATTTGTCAATTGATATCGCAGTTAGAAGGCTGTTTTGCTTTCATTTATTATCAAGTAGGAAATATTCAATCGATTGCATGTCGTTTCCCTACGTTTGGTAATCATTGCCTTTAGTTTAGAAACAAACTAATTGTCTATACTACGGACGAGATCGTCTCGGACGACGAAGTCTCATGTATTCAATGATCGATGATAATCAATCGAATTTAAAGATGATTTTGACTTCTGTTCGTCTCCAACAATTCGTAAGCAATGTCTTCTTGCTCGCTTTTGTTCATCCTTCATTCATTCGTTCGTTTCTTGTGATCAGTCATATACAGAACTTGACTCAAGTATTCTTCATAAACTATCCGTCAAATCAACGAACAGTACATTTCAAATTGATACAATTTCATATGTTAAACCAACAATAGATATTATTTCGTCTGAACCGCCCGATGCTCTGCTAACTGAGTTGGAAAATGATTCGGTATTTCAAAATATCTCCACAACATTTCTCAATCAATTGCAAGCGGCTGTTCGACGACGTCTTGCGAATCTTCCGACCCTCTGCCGACGATGTAAGCGGTCGACAGATGGAACTCTTCGTCCAGAAAACGGTTGTCCACATCCTAAATTAGCAATACTCTTCTCGGGTGGAATCGATTCCAGTGTGTTGACAGCGTTAGCTGACCGAATTCTGCCAAGCAATGAACCAATTGATCTACTCAACGTAAGCTTCTTCTCAGATGTTCGAGCACCACCACCAGCAGATCGACAAACAGGTAGTTCGGAAGTGCTCGTTTGGAAAAATGATATACATGTAGTGTTTTTAGGCTTACAAGCGCTAACAGAACTTAATCCAGCTCGGCAATGGAACTTTGTTCAAGTAAACGTTGATTTGTCTTCTGAATAGTCTCTTCTGATCAATACATTTCGTATAGATTGATGTTGACGTAAATGAACTCCGGCACTATCGTGAAAATGTCATCAAAACAGTGATTTATCCGTGTTCAACTGTACTAGATGACAGTATTGGTAGTGCTCTGTGGTTTGCTGCTCGTGGCAGTGGAAAACTTCATCCTGTCAACACAGTTTACGAGAGTACAGCAGAGGTAATACATAGCAGACGATCTGACCTTCAACACTGTCTTTTGTGTCGTAGGTGTTGTTATCTGGTTTAGGCGCTGATGAACAACTAGCTGGTTATTCTCGGCATCGATCAACATTTCAAGCACATGGCTGGAAAGGACTGGAAAATGAGCTCGAAATGGAAATTAATCGAATTTCTAAACGAAATTTGGGACGTGACGACCGGTATAGAAAACATATATTTTGTTCTGATGTGTACCTCAGAATTTATTTTCTAGAGTGATCAGTAGTTTAGGTAAAGAAGTTCGTTTTCCGTTTCTCGACGAACGATTAGTGAATTACCTTCGTTCCGTGCCGATTTGGTACAAAGCGGATTTACGTTTAGGACGTGGTATTGGTGAGAAGTACCTCCTTCGTTACATCGCTTGTCACAGCCTGTCTCTGTTCCAATCATCGAAGTATCCGAAGCGTGCGATACAATTCGGTTCACGAATCGCGAAACTTGAAAACCGAAAAGAGAAAGCGTCCGATCAATGTGCAAGATTAACAATAGACGACGAAGATTAATTCGAAATCTTATTCTGTTTGTCGGTCAACTAGACTTTATTTCCGTAAAAAAAAGGTCAAATAAAGAAATAAGAATTGAGAAAAAGAGAAGACAAGCGACCAGTAATGTACATATATAGATAATAATCATAATGGGAACAAACACAACAACATGAACAAGAATATAAAGGAAGAGGGAGAGAGAGAGAGAGAGAGAAATAATCAAATACGACTGCTTGCAAATCGTGCTTTCTTTGCCAACAGAGGAGAAAAAAAACAGAACTGTGCAGTGGAAACATGACGAGAAAAAAATAAATGTATGTATAGGTAGATCGATCTTGAAAACCAAGAGACTTTCTCTGTGTATAATACTTCCATATTCACTTCTGTGTATAGAACTCTCATAACACTATTGACAATAATCGAGTTTGGTTCTTGAAAGACACATTTATACAAAATCGAAGTTCTTCATTAGAAGATTTAGTAGTAGAAAAATAAGCAAGACAACGGTGTTGATGTTTGGTTTGGTTTTTCACTATAAACATCGACGTTTTTCTCGAAGGAGCAGACAAAAAGCGAAAAAACGTGTTTACACACGGACGGAATGAATTCGTTCGCGGGTTTGCATCAAACATGTACCATACTGATGGATTTTCTCGGGTAGCAAACAAACGAAAACTGCACGGTGATGATAGGTGCGTTTTTAAACGCGCAATAGACCAAACAAGAAGATAAAATCGGTTGAAAGAGAAAAGAAAACGAAAGAATGAATTGCGTGTAAGGCAGTATACACGCAATGAAGGTATGAATTCAAAACGAAACATGATTTACGTAAGTATTCAGATTCAATCGCCGGGATGTTCAGGACACGTTCGGTTAATGCGAAACCAATTATCAATACAACTAAAAATAAATAAATAAATAAACATTTAGATTTGATAAGAAGATATTCAGGAAGCTCATTTAGAATTATCTTTGTTTTCTGAACAAATAGTCAACATTTATCTTCAAATTGAATTCCACTGAGACATAACGACCTCAAAGAGATATGAATCATCAGCGACTCAGCAAAAGTCTCATTTGAAAGATAAATTGTGAGATAAATGTGCGTAATAAGAACAGAAATCATCATTGACGTGATTTTTTCAAGATCAACAAAATGATTCGATGCTCCGTACCCTTCGACTAGAGGTCACGCAAAAGCTTCTGTAAACACATCTATTGCTCGATAGAACTCGACGTATCTGATAGAAGACTATTTCAGTGCGTTGGAAATTCGCTGAATTTACCTTTTGTGATAAATACAAAGACATGGTAGTCGAGCAATTTTTTGTCCTTCCAGTAGATCATCAAAACATATGACACATTCACCTTTGTTTTCTGTTAACGTATCCTCTATAGGGAAAGAAAAAACAAATCAGCATTCAGACATTAATATGTTAAACAAACCATTATAATCTATTCGGGGTTTCGACAGACATTGTACAATATGTTTATCAAATATATCTCTTGGAATTGTTTTATTACATACAGGACACGGAACATCATGAAGTGCAATTAAAATACGATGCAATCGCCGTCTCGCTTGTGGTGATTCCTCATCTGAACTTTGATCATCGGAATCATGTTCAAGTCCAACGTAACGTAACAGATTAAAGTTGAACGCTGCGGCAGCAGCAGGATCAATGTTAGTCGGTGTAGTACGGTGTCGATTAGCCGAAGGATTACTTGCGAAGAGACCGTGCGAACTGTGATGTCCACTACTAGAACGATGGCGAGGATGTTGGGAATGATGATTTGAACTATTCGAATGTGTACGTGGATGGGCAAGATTTGTTGTAGAACCGGTATTCGTGTTTCGATGTGCAGTAGTCGATGATGAGGAAGTTGACGACGGCGGAGTTGTTAATCGTCCACCCATTTTTGTTTTGACAAGTTTTGTTTTTCTTTCAAGCGATATCAATATATCAAGCCGAGTGTTCGTTTCAAAATATCGGTAATCATCGATACATCTAAATGAAAAATGTTGTACTTTGATATCATTTCGGTTGTGACAATGTCATATCCGAGAAAAAAGAGAAGGGGACAAATAGTCAACAAATAAACATCATCAGACGTCTATCCACTTATTACCTCACAGAAATGTGTTTTTTTTTGGCGACATCTATTCGATTTTATATTGGTGTACTTCGATATCCAGCGAAACTGTCATTAAAAACCGAATCAATGAAGCATTGAATTCGAGTGCATATATTCGAGTAGTATTTTTTCTCATAATGTGCATCGAAACACGCTAAAGCTCTTCTTGGACAAGTGGTAAGATGATTGTCCAATACGTGTCGAAACGACCGTGCTCCAGAAGTCGCCGTTCGCGAATAGTACAGTTTTTGACGTTGTTCTTTCTGGGACTTGTATCATCCACAATCACATTTCTCATAACATTCTTTGCAACATCAGACTACGTCTTTGATAGAATATCATCTTTTCTTGTACCGCAATCGAATGGCGACTTCTCGTCAGAGCCATCGCTTGAAAGGATGAAGGATTACCGGCCGAGAGATTTCCTTGGAAAGAAAGAATCGGTTAATTATGACTACTATATCACCTATAAAGATTTCAATTTCCGTAAGCCGGACACGTTAACATATGAAAACCGAACGTATGCCAATAGCACACTTATCTTCTATCGATTTCCACGAAGAACGTCAATTCTAGCTTTGCTATTGATCTTCCATAGTTGTCGACATTCGGCTACGCATTGGTTTCACACACCTGAACGACAACGGATTCTGGGCGCGGCTATTGATCTTGGCTTTGCATGTTTAGTATTTCAAGCATCTGATAAAACAGCGAAATGCTGGTCCAATGAAGGTGATATTTATCAAAATAGGGATGTGTATTATATTTTGAAAGGATTAGAGGGCTTTTTTAAAGATTATCCCGAATTAAGTAAGAAAAATTCATTTGTTCTTTAAAAGAAAGTCTATCATATCATCGGTTTCTGTTCAAGTTTCCCTACCACGCTATACATTCGGTTCGTCCAGCGGCGGTATATTCTCCAGTGTATTTGCCATTAATCAACGGTATCCTATCCATGGACAAGTCATCTACACTTCGATCATTCTTCCAGTGATCTTGCACAAGCATATCAAAAATGGAAATTATCCGACAACAGTATGGATTTACGTACGTATCCAGTGCAAAGTTGTTTTTTTTGCGAGAAGTACTCATCTGCTTCGGTGTTTGATATTTGATCCCTTAGATGTTACGTGACATTGAGTTTGCTTCGGAACAACGTATTGATATGTCGAAAGAAATTCTTCGGAGACAAAATATTTCATGTACTTCGTTTCCTATCGAACCATCACAACTCACATCGACGATATTTCATGATCGACAGCCTAAAATTACTCATGCTGCATCACAATATCTCTACTCTCAATTACGACAATATCGTTGGTTGAATAATTACAACTACATGCTTTATAATCCTCGACAGAAACTGACTTGGCAGGGATTTCTTTTTGCTGTACAAGTCAATCAAACGTTGAGCAAAGAAGCATTTGATAATATTCATACACATAAACTCGAGATATACGAATTATTGAATACATTTTATGGTGAACATGAAATTAGCTATGAGCGGTCGTATGAAGCTTTGAAATGGCTTTTAGATACTTCAAACAAATAACGCACAGCGATCAAAATAGTTACCGTGTTACTATTTGTTTTTGTAAAATAAATTTATTTTTAATAAATTATGCTTTTAATGAGCAAATATTTTCATGAGCTTCAGAGTTGAATCGTTAATAGCGGATCAGACTATCATTGAACGCCTTTTTTCGATTCCAATTAACTAAATTTAGAAAATCGTCAAGTTGATAGGCAGCACACGCATATCACGATAACATTCCTCTCCTTTCATTGAAACTGCAGCGCATGGTAATTCATTTTTTGCAAGTTCGCAAATAAATGTTGATAAACATCGAATATTCCGGTGATTTCCATATAATCTCGATGTAGATTATATCTTATTAAGAGAAATCTAAACATGATGAAAACGGAAGTACTTTCTTTCCCATTCTATTTATTCGACGATATCGAACATGCGTTTGCAATTTGTTGATCTCTTCTTCTTTTGAGATGGCAACTCATAAATATTCAATCTCGTGTACAAGGAACATTAATGATGATTAATGGCGGAAAATGAAATCTTCATTAGAATTGAAAGAACATGAAACATGCCTGTTGTTTGTCTTTGCATGTTCAAGTTTTATTTTAATTAGTATTTCGGATGTATTTCCGAGGGGTATGATGATGTGTTCAGAAAATTTGATTTGACTTTTTCAGATAATCCAACCGGATATTCGAACGGTCGATTTTGAGCGGAATGAATTAATTGCTTTTTGCTCATAGACATTTCTTCTATCGAAACTAATTAAAAGAGCAAAAAACAAAACTTTTCTCTTGTTTTCCAGCGGATCGACATTCGATCAACTAGGAGGAGGAGGAGGAGGAGGAGAAACGAGAAAAGCGAGAGAATGATTTCTACGACTAAGCGCTTTTTTCTCTTATGACCCTGTTAGACTTTGTTTTTGCCACGTTAAAGTGAGAGAGAGAGAGAAAATAACGACGAGATGATAGTCGACCATGAGAACAAATGTGGAATCTTCTTCCAGAAATGACGAGACGCTTCTGTTGTTTAATTCGAGTTCGATCATCGAATGGAAATGGTATTGCCTATCAAAGATACGTTTGATTTCATTTTTTTTCTTCCTCTCTCTCTCTTACTCGTACATTTCTCCCGGGATTCGTTTTTCTCCCTAGTAAAATTCATTAAGCTATGCCTCGCTTCTACCTGGCGATCAAACAAAAAAACCTCATCTGTGCACGCATGCATTCAATACTTAATCTTTTCCAAATCATGCTAACAAGCACAAGTCAGAATTGCGGATATATGACTCTTTCTTCACATTAGATATCGAGAAAATGGGTATATTTTTAGCCTGGGTCCATATACGCAAGTATAAAAGGAAGGGAATTTTTGATTATAAGCACATTGCCTTTTACACAATCATGAAAGTACACGATATACCTTTGTGCTTTTCTTTTTTTAGATTAGCTCAAAATCCCTTCGTAAAATACTAAAAGATGCTTGGTGGATTTCTAAAATTAACTTTATTCCTTCATGTTGTATTCATGTTCGTTACTCTTCTATGGCAAGTAGCAATTGCCGAAGCTTCGTCGGTAAGTATTCGATTGGTAAATTATTGCCGGATATTGAACACTACGGAGCGACTAATAATGGTACTTGTACGATGATTGTTTTTCTCAATCAAACTATAATATTACTGTTTTGTGTACAGAGAAAAAGAAATGTCAATGATAAAATAGGTCGTCGATTGTCAAATGCTTGCTAATTACTTTCTGACTACTTGAAATCGAGAATAAGGGTAGAGAAAATGTCAGACGTAAGATGATTAAAGATTCTTTATTTCGTCTCCCTTTTTAATGGATAACAAAGCAGAATCGCTTGAGATTTCATCAAGTAGAGAAATATAATAAGGGCAATTAGCTACGTTATTATATGCTTGGTTACCTTCACGAAAAATAGCCTCGAACAATAATGAAAAAAGCCGCTAAATACCACAGGCAATTTTTGTGAAGGTGAATGTTTAGTAACATAAATTTAATTTACTTTTTCTTCTTAGAACTCGGCTACTGACAAGAATCTGGGTGTATTAAATAAAGATGCAACTCATTTGTTAACTCCTCTTCAACAGCAAAGTATTCATTTAGCCAAAGATCCATTGAATTTCCCTGTCGATGTCGAATCGTTAGTTGACAAACCACCTGCTCGTACTCGTACACGTCACCGAATCTTCCGAAAAAAGTTACATCCGAGCAAATTAACCAATTCGAAACACGTTCTTCAATCAACAGGTATACGTCCTAAAAAACATCGATCCTCTAAACGTGTTCAATCAATGCTAGATGATCGCCTCAAGCGTTTTCGTATGTTGGATACCGAGGAATTTCAAGAAATGTTGAAATCAATGAGTCAACAACAATCATCAGAACAACCAACAGGATTCAATAACATAGATACAATCGATGGCATTCAGCTCGAAAGTAAGTTTCAACTAAAAGATTTTCAACTGTTCATATCTCGCTCTATTCGTAGATTATTGGTCGCGTAAATAATTGCAAGAAAAGAAGTTGGTACAAACTTCATTTTTTCTCTCTTTCTCTCTTTTACTGCTGTTGGCTATCAATATTTACATACATATATACATCATATACATATATACGCACACAACGGAATGAGTCGTATTTGCTTCTCGAATGATTTCTATCTGTTTTGTTTCCTTTATTCGCGGAAAAAAGAAAGAAAGAAGGAAAGAATTGAATCTTATAAATAAAAAACGAGTTTTATGCCATGAATCACTTGATTTGTAATGGGCATGAATGTGTCACACATTGTAGTCAGATCGTATATATCATATGTGTTATTCGACATATACAGCAGTAATAAAAATTAGTGTCACTTATCGTTCCTGTTAAGAACACTCGAAAATGATATGAAAGGATCGATGATGATCACCACTGTGATGGAACTTCAATCAAATTTCAAGAGCTCAACTAAACTTTCTTATGACGAGACTTAGTGGCGTAACCAAGGGTGGGATAGGTTGGGCGGCGCCCAACCAAGGGTAACTTTTTGAAAACTGATTTCTTAAAAGTCAAAGTTTATAAATGATCATGAATCATCACTATTTTTCAAAGCAGTGTTCTCTGTCATAGCAATAATCATTAGTTTATTGAATAAACCAACAATAAGTATTTCCCTTATGTTCGTGACTTCAGTTTTCAGCTTACGATCTGTATTCTTACGGCTAATATGCAATTTAGTGATATAAAGAACGAAAGCGAAATACTCTTTACTCCTTTTTTCGTTCGTAATTTAAGAGGAAAAAACTTGATACTACTATTTCTCATGTTGATGAATTTCCAGAAAAAGCAGAATCTCGTTCACCATCTTCGCCAGTAACAATAACAGGAGTACGAAAAACTACAAGATTATCATCCAGATTTAAAAATACTGTTACTAACAGTACTATTGGTCAACGTACGCAAATGAACAATGAAGAACAATATTGAACAAATCTTTTTAATTCTTTAATTGATTCGATATTAATCGAACTAAATAATTGGTTTTCTTTCGAAAATATCGATATTTTTAGTGAAATTTCAGCTAATTGTACTGACAATGATAGTTTTTTGGACTGTATCAAACTTAAAAACAATTGTCGATCTATATATGGAATTATTACCTTTGAAACCAACGTTTTCCACAGTGATGCATCTTGTTGTTACTGCAATGTCTATACCTGTGCCATCTAAGACATGTGAACGCACATTTAGTAAAATGAAACTGATAAAAGCAACCACATGTAATTCTAAGTCAGATACTCAATTTAATGACTTGTGTGTTTTACCGATTGAACGCGATTTTGATATCGATTTCGAAAGCTTATTTATGACTTTGCTGACGCACATAAAAACCCTGATCTTTGTACTTTTCAATAAACAAGCAAGCCAGTATTTGACAAAATATTTTAAAAATAAGTACACCCTGTATATGTGGTGTACGAAAAAGAATATAACACTTTTTACTGAAAATAATCTTTTTCAAACATCGTTAGGGCGTCGCCCAGTCACCTGTCAAATCCTGGGTACACCACTAGACGAGGCTGCTATGACCTCGCTTTTCATTGATAAACATCAATCACTTCACGCCAAGGTCATAAATTTCCACATTGTCTTACTACTCTGCACAGAATCTCAGGCGTCATATTATCAGCCTACGCTTTACATCGTGTTGTTTTCGAGATGGAACAGTTAATTACGTCTAGGTTCAGTGTCATGCGATTCTTTTATACTTGATTCGACTTTTATTATTATTACTAATGTGATTATTGTCATAACTACATTTCTCATATCGAACAACACAAGAGCAAATGAAAATAGAAAAAGAAGAAGAATGAGCGTCATAAATTACAACACGTTTTAAGCATTGTTCGCACTCTTGTACATGTTCACAAAAACGTTTTTGTACTTCTTTTCCACTGCATACCGGCGTGATTTGAACGTCGGTGTCAAAAGACCGTTCTCGATCGTGAACGCTTCTTTGATAAACTCGATGTTCTTCACTTGTTCGTATGACATAAGTCCTCGCTTCTTGCCTTCTCGAGTCATGTCATCCAGAACGATCTGCTTCAGTTTCTCGTCCGGCTCGGACGCCTGCACATGATGACCTTCGGTTGCTGCCCACTTTTTCACATAGTCATCATCGAGAACAACGATGGCAACGAGAAAGCTCTCGAACGAATCACCGTACACAAAAACCAGTGAGATGAAGCGACTTCGAGCATAGACATCTTCGATTTTCTCAGGTGCAATGTATTCGCCTTGGCTGAGCTAGAAGAGAGAGCGAGAGAGAGAGAAGGAGATGAAGAAGCGAATTGATTATTATGACTGACTTTGTACATGTTTTTCTTTCGATCGATGATCTGCATGGTTTTGTGTGGTGTCCATCGTCCGATATCGCCTGTGTGTAACCAACCTTGTTCGTCAATGGCTTCACGAGTTTTAGCCTCATCTTTCAGGTAACCTTTGAATAGAGCTGGGCTGCTAATACAAATTTCGCCAACGCCATCCTTGGCATAGTACTCTTTCTCGGGCACATCAACTAGTTTGATGTAGTTCATTATTGTAGGAATACCTGTTTCGCCAGGTTTGACGTGATTCGGCGTTTGCGAACAACCGATGATACATTCTGTTTGGCCATAACATTCAATAAACATACACGAAAATGCAGCACGAGAAAATGCACAAACTTCAGCGGACAGCGGGGCGCTAGTGGAAACGACACATGACATTTTACCACCGAAAGATTGACGAACTTTGTGAAAAATTAATTTATCCCAGATAGTATTTTGCGAAAAATCTCCTCGACGAATAAACTCGAGTTTACTGCGAACCGCTAATCGAAAAAGAATGCGTCCAATAAGCCCTTTTTTCCGCGATTCAGATCGAACTCTATCGTAAAGTTTATTCAATAGACGTGGCACCATCGTAATTATGGACGGTTTGAAATCGTGAAAATCATCAATCAATTTGTCGACTTTACCTTGCCAAAATCCGATCTCTCCTCCTACAAAATGCAGTAAAAACTTCTCTTTTCACTGATTCACAATTTCATACCTAAATATGTGAGAGCTAAAATTGTTGCGCAGCCGAACACGTGTGCTAATGGCAGATAATTAAGAACACGTGGAGTTTCTTTTCTCCTAAGGAAGTCGAGAAGACCAATAGAATTTACAAGTCCATGCAACGCATTGACAAAAGCTTCGTGTGTTATAATACACCCTAAACACCAAGACATAGTTGATTCTCAAACATCGTTGCAATTGTTACCTTTGGGCTCTCCTGTACTTCCGCTTGTATACATAATAATAGCTGTATCGCTTGGCTTAGGTTCGACCACTGGTGTCGGATTCTGTCGACCCAGTTCTCTAAGATGTGCGAGTGTTATCAAATTCAAATTTTTCTCTGTTGCTCGTTCCATTAATTCTTTTGTTGGTTCAAGGAAACACACGATTGTTTTCAATGTCGATGTTTCATCTTTCCATTCAATCAAGTTCGTCACACGTTGCAGATCATCGGCAAAAATCAATTTCACTTCCGTTTGTTTGATAATGAACCGCACACCATCTCGACCAAGTGAATCATAAATGCCAACCGGCACCATCGAATACGGCCATGCCGAATAAAGACACAATGCATAGTTCATCGTACATGATCCATAAATACCGAAAAAGGTATCATTTTCTGGTTTAAGACCAAAGTGAACTACACCACTACCGATTTCTTTGAGAATTTCAAATACTTCTCTAATATAACAAAAATTATCTTTGTTTATCGAATATGTAACACATCACTTACGTATGTGTATAGGATTTAAATGATTGATTAGATGCTTCTCGATACGAGAACAAGGGTTTCTTCGCAGCTAGTTGTATTCCATGTTGTAGCACACCATATAATGTGTCTACACCAAATGCTTTTGTCTCTTGCAGATGTTGCGTACAATCCGGATGTGCATATATATGTTCAGTGAGGTCGATTTCGACTGCACCAGTTGGTGATAATGGCTTTTTCAAAAGAATTCGCAAGAAGGAGAAAAGATACTCCAGTAAAACAGTGGTGAATACCACAAATACGGCGATTAAGACAGTAAACATATTAATAAAGTTGGTAGACTAAAACAAAATACACATAAATATTATTTACCCATCTCCATAAAATACGTCGCGATACTCCCACCTTACACAGAAATGCGAGGCGGAGGAAAACAAGCGAGGAAAAAACAAATAGTTTCACCTACTCATGACAGTCTAACCTGTGGACAATAAATGTACGGAGAGTGGGCAGACTTTAAATCAAAGTCTATCACAATGAAGAGTCTTATGATGGGACAATTATCACGTAAACGTACGCTTCTATTCACCAATAAAAATGCTCGATCGAGGAAGACAAGGATCGATACAGCTGTCGCTTCTTGTTAAAGTAAGAACGAAATACAATAGGTCCTCAATATGAGAATACGAAAAAAAAATACCTTTCTACAATACTGTCTAAATGTTTACTAAATCAAACAGTCTCGTAGTTTTTTCTTTACAAAAACACACTTATCAATTCAAGAACTTGTTAACTCGCACCCCATGAAGATTTATTTTCGTCAATGTCGATCTTGACTATTATTTACATCCGAAGAGAAGTTGTATATTTTTGAAATGATAAGAGATTAGAAGAATTTTAAACTGCGTCGTAGCACGTGCTCTGAGAAAAAGCCTACCAAATCGTGAAGTTGCATCGTACCAATGATTCTCGATGACAAGACGAATTTTAAAGTTCTTTTACCCGTACAATCTTGATCTACTGCACACAGAACAGCAAAGGAATCAATTAGATACACATTTATTGAATTTTTTATGAACTGAATCAGAGTTATCAGTGAACTTATGATGTTTTTTGCAAGACGATCAAGTCACTTACGGAGAGATGTGATCTTATTTGAATAAATAATTTCGTCCATGTGTTGGAAGTACGAAAAGTATCGTCTATGATACTGCAAGTGAGACAGAGAAGGAGAGAGAGAGAAATACGTTCACATAACTAGTAATAGACATGATAACCTTGAGCTTGCTTTTTTTCTTCTTTCTTTTCTGACTTTTACCTGTATTAGCAGTAGCAACTGAAGGTTTATCGTCTCTTCCTGTCGCTCTGTCTCTCTGCGTATCATACGTGTGCGTTTTGAGAAACGAGAAAGTGAGAAATGTTGACCACTATATAGAACTGAGCTGAGATAAAAGAATCCGAAAGAAAATTTTTGCGAAGTTAAAAGATCGGCGAAAGTACGAACTCGAAAACTTCTTTTAATAAATAACGCGCTCGTTTTCTTCATATAGATTCGAATAAGAGACACTAGAACCAAATATTGATTATAAAGTACAAATAGATGATGTTGGTCTACGTCAAGTAGTACATGCTTTTCATATGTTTGCTTACTGTTTTGTATGTATTTTATTCGAAATGTTGATAAAATAAGGTATAACTTGGAGCATGTTTTTCGTTGGATGGTGAAATTTGAAATTCGACAGGTTTCGATTGTCAAGAGAGTAAATATCAGCGTATACTATTTTTTTATCATGCTAATCAATGTTTTGGTTGCGAAGGATGATAGATAGCTGGTTAATCGCATCAAAAGAAAAGCTCAAAAGACCTTGATACGCACATAAATTACCTCAGCATATGATTAAGTAGCAAACGGCAAGCTTCTTTTTATGAGCCTGCATATCTAACACATTGCAACTGATAACAGGCAGGATAAATTTGAAGAAGAAAACCCAATCCATTAGTTTTTAGAATGAATAAAAAAATATTATGAGTTCAATGTCAACTCTTGCCGTGTGTGTATCAATGGCACTTTATTCTCCTCAACGAACAATCTCACTAATATTTTCTTTAATCTTCTCTACTTTATTTCATTAAATCTAGCAATTCCAACAATGTATCCTTATTTTTATCGACGTTTTCTCTACAAGTCAAAAGAACCATTTTGAAGAATTTTAATTATACGAACATATGGCTCCAATACTGTTCATATAACCTACTTATCATATCGAGCTTGTGCTTAATATAGTCTAATTACTTTTCTGCCGATATGACTTTTATTATCATTACTAATGTGATTATCATTCATAACTACATCTCTCACATCGAACAACACAAGAACAAATGAAAATAGAAAAAGAAGAAGAAGAATGAACGTCATAAATTACAACACATTTTAAGCATTGTTCGCACTCTTGTACATGTTCACAAAAACATCTTTGTACTTCTTTTCCACTGCATACCGGCGTGCTTTGAACGTCGGTGTCAAAAGACCGTTCTCGATCGTGAACGCTTCTTTGATAAACTCGATGTTCTTCACTTGTTCGTATGACATAAGTCCTCGCTTCTTGCCTTCTCGAGTCATGTCATCCAGAACGATCTGCTTCAGTTTCTCGTCCGGCTCGGACGCCTGCACATGATGACCTTCGGTTGCTGCCCACTTTTTCACATAGTCATCATCGAGAACAACGATGGCAACGAGAAAGCTCTCGAACGAATCACCGTACACAAAGATCTGTGAGATGAAACGACTTCGAGCATAGACATCTTCGATTTTCTCGGGCGCAACATATTCGCCTTGGCTGAGCTAGAAGAGAGAGCGAGAGAGAGAGAAGGAGATGAAGAAGCGAATTGAGTGATATGACTGACTTTGTACATGTTTTTCTTTCGATCAACGATCTTCATGGTTTTGTGTGGTGTCCATCGTCCGATATCGCCTGTGTGTAACCAACCTTGTTCGTCAATGGCTTCACGCGTTTTAGCCTCTTCCTTCAAGTAACCTTTAAAGACGGCTTTGCTTCGGAGACAGATCTCGCCAACACCATCTTTGGCATAGTAATTCTTTTCAGGGACATCAACCAGTTTGACATGGTTCAGTGATGTGGGAATACCAGTTTCGCCTGATTCAATATCATGAACAGTCTGTGAGCATCCGATGACACATTCTGTTTGACCATAACTTTCAACGAAAAAACAGGAGAAAGCCGCGCGAGAGAATCGACACACTTCAGGTGAGAGAGGCGCACTTGAGGAAATAACACGATTAACTCGGCCGCCAAAGCCTTGACGAACTTTTTCAAAAATTAATTTATCCCACAGAGTGTCCTGAGAAAAGTTTCCTCGTCGAATTAATGCTAATTTACTTCGAATAGCTAAGTGGAACAGAAATCGACCTAGAAGACCTTTCTTGCGTAATTCCAGCCGAACTTTATCGTAGAGCTTATTCAACAGACGTGGCACCATTGTAACAATCGTTGGTTTGAAGTCTCGAAAATCGTCTGGCAATCTTTCTACTTTACCTTGCCAAAAACCAATTTCGCCTCCTAGAAAAATGTCAATAAATCTCGTTGACTTATATCCGAAAAGAGACCCGTACCTAAGTAACTAATAGAAATGACTGTTCCACATCCAAATAGATGCGCTAATGGTAGGTAATTCATAACACGTGGCGTCTCAGTTACTTGCAATATGTCGAGAGCCGATGCAATTCCATACATAGCATAAACGAAGTTTTCATGAGTGATAATACAACCTACAGGTTTTAAAATGAAGATGATGTTGAAAATAAAGTTGAAAGAGATTACCTTTAGGTTCTCCGGTGCTGCCACTTGTATACATAATCATCGCTGTATCACTAGGTTTTGGTGGTACAACCGGAACGAGATGGTTTCTTCCGTTTTCTTTGAGTTTTTCGAATGAAATTATATCGAGATTTTTCTCTTTTGCTTGACTAATCAATGTCTCTGTTGGCTCAACGAAACACACGATTGTTTTTAATGCTAATGTATCATCTTTCCATTCGATTAAATTCTTCATACGTTGAAGATCATCAACAAAGATCAACTTGACCTCGCTTTGTTTGATAATAAATCGAACACCATCACGACCAAGTGAATCGTAGATACCGATGGGAACCATGGAGTACGGCCAAGCGGAATAGAGACATAGTGCATAGTTCATCGTACATGATCCATAAATACCGAAAAAGGTGTCGTTTTCTGGTTTAAGACCAGTATTAATTATGCCACTACCGATTTCTTGAATCATTTTGTTTACTTGGCTACAAACGAACAATATAGTTCTTCTTCTATTTCAATACAATTTACTATTTACTTGTACGAATAGGATTTGAATGGTTCGCTAGATGATTGCCGATATGAAAATTGTGGACGATCACCACTTATCTTGACGCCATGTAAATAACCCTCATAGATTGTTTGTACTTCGAATGTTTTGGGATCTTGCAGATGGTCCACGAAATCAGGATGTGCATAAACATGTTCCTTTGAATCGACTTCGACAGCGCCTTTGGGTGGTAATGGTTTTTTAAATAAAATTTCAAATAACGAAAAGAAATATTGAAGTAAAATACTAATTACTACAACTATTACAGTGACTATGATAATAACCATTGCTTAGAAATACAATGCTTGTTAATTGTCTACCGATGTATATTGCTGGATGAAAACGTGTTTTTTTCTTTCGAAGAAAGAAACCAAGACGAATATTTTCGTTTATTTTATATCACTTATCAATTAGATAAAAGGTACAAAGTGTGAAAAATATTGATGCAACAGCTTTCTTTTCATCTAGTAGCAAACAAAAAGATTATATAGACTTTCTTCTATTCACGTATCACCTTCGATATTACTCTATATATCGTGTTGATTACGCACACATCAACTATACGCATTTAACAGATGACAAATAAGAAATCTGGGCATCCTATCTATTCGGAGATAAAAAAAGAAAAAGCAGAGCGTCGAGTGCGAAAGTCAATATTAACAATTGTACTTTGTAATTTCATATTATCACGCATACTACTTTTTTTCTTTTTCATCTGTGAAATTTTACTCAGCTGTCATCGATACAATGATGAAATGAGGAGATCACCGATGACGTCTCAATAAGGCAACTACGATGCTATAGTAATCGATCGATATGCGTATCTATCCGCTTATTCGATAACGTTCGTCTGTTTCGTTTTTCTTCTCTTTTCTTTTATTCATCAGACACATTCTAATCGACAGATCAATACTGCAGAAGACAAGGTAAATACCATCGATTCCCGTAATCTTTTCGGAATTTCAGATTTCGATTCGAGCCGATCGTAAGAAGAAAAGTTTTCGTTTAAGTTTTGATTTTATTTTGTAATCTTCGAAAATAAAATATACACAACACAACGATTCAAATAAAATCAAAATAACAATAATACAAAATAAGAAAAAAGACTTGTTCAATTATTTTCTATGAAGATAGAAGTAAAATAACAAATAATACAGACACTACTCTTGATTATATCTCAAACCAAAAGACCTAAACTATAGAAAATAGAGTCTATTCTCTTGATTGGTTGGTGCTGCAGTTTTATCTTTGACTAATGTGATCATTTACCGAACATTGACGCGTTCAAGAGCTTTGACAGCTGATGATGGCAAATCTTGATTGAGTTCTTTGTAAAGCGATTTCAACACTTGCAATTCCTTCATCAAGAGGTCGACTCGATCGGTTAATGAACGATTCTCATTTGCCAATTCGACCATTTTGGTCTCTGTGGTCTTTTGTTTTTCTTTGGCTTTCATTCGACTTTTTTTGACAGCTTCGTTGTTCTTGACACGGCGATCGTGATACTCGTCCGAGTACTTCACAACTTGTTTGTTACCAAATCGTGCAAGCTTTCGGACTGGACCACCGCTTTTCTTTAAGCCACGTCGATTGATGTCATCGCGTTCATTATCATCCGATGTAGAGTCAACTGAAGATGTGGTGCTCTCATCATGATTCGATGAGGTCGTGGTACACACGTCAGTAGTCATACCGACGTGTGGGAAATAGTTGTTGTTGTCGTCTTGTTCCATAGACATATCAGTATAGTCTTTATAGGTCATATCCAATTGCGGAGACAGTAATTGATCAAATGAATCAAATTCTAATTCGGTCGGCCAACTATCGTCGAATTCGGAGGGCAATGGAATATTGTTGACGAGTTCGTCGAATAAAGGATCGTTTAATGATAAGTCGAAGGAGGGTTCAGAAGTTGCGAAGTCAGATGAGAAGGAAGGATCAACGTTCGTTTGAAGAGCAGTTGTTTGTGATTCGTCGGAGTTTTGTACCTGAAGTGAACAGAGGTATTTTAATTCGGTCTTGATTTTTGTAATGGCTAGATTTACTGCTGCCGTTGATGATAAGTTATCATCTGCTTGCTGGCTAGCGTAACTAGTATTATCTGACTGCTCTATAGGTTCATATTTGATTTTAGCATAAGTATGGTCGCCCTTACCGATTGAAAAAGTGTTGGTAGTTTTGCCGGAACCTGAGTTGTTTCCCGGCTGAACAGACCAGTCGATCGGTATAGTGTGGGACATACTGTTGGATTGTTAGTAGACGGAGAGGACACAATCGGTCGTTTGTCAGACACGGAAAGTGTAGCTGAAAAAATGCGATTGTCAGTTAAAATCTGGACCTGCAGTGTATGCGCTGCGGAGAAAGAAAACTGAGCGAAGATGTCTACTTGTGCTGCGCAGTAGTAAAAATGCTAGTGATTTCGAAAGTTGCTCTCCGTTTTATACCGATGATTTTTTTTCCCTTCTCGTAAAGCGATTTCGCAATTACTCACGGTGTAATTGCATCACTTTTCTCCCAGTGTTGACTCAACGTTAAGGTTTTTTTCCTTTGCTATCACGCGCTACTCGCCGTCAAAAGGAAAAATCTATTCAGATTGCCAGCAAACAGAGAATATTACCGATAGTCAATACTTAAACTATAAAGAAAAGGAAACTTACCGATGAAAGCGAATATGGATTGCGATTGCGTTTGGAGAATATCGTAGACGAATTAGTCTAGTTTACGAGGCATAATATGTGTGAAGTAGAATAAAGATAAATAGCGAATATCGGAAAGTTATGTTCACGTAAGCATTGGTTTTCAAAATGAAGGCGAAACTAGAAATTCTTCGGCATATATATGTGTGCATTTAATGGACTTGCATGTTATATAGAAAAAGAGAGAAACTGACGACGCAATTACACGTCATTGCACAATAACATGAGTCATGAAGAACAAGAAAAAGAGAATATTGTCTCTACCAGCATGTTTTTTCTCGTTTTTTATGTACGATGTAAATGATAAGTCCATACCGATTTTTTTTCCTTCGTCCAGCAAAAATTCATGATTGGTTCATTGCTGAAAAACAAGAAAGAAAAAAAATATTCATAGTTATGACGAAATTACAGAGCGCGTATAGGAAGTAATGACGAAATGTCTTATGCAAAGCCAAACTAAACTGAAAGCGTGGGCGTAAAGTGTAAAAGTTCATCGAAACCCATGCAATAACTAGTGAGTTCTGTACTAACCAACTGTGTTTTAACGAAATCGTTCATCATATGTAAATCTTGACATTCATTTCTGATCTGAATTTGTATGAATACATGTTTGTTTCTTCCTACAAAGTGACCCTGAATATATAAAATGAAGCCGCGGACATATTACACATTCAAATTGTTCATCACAAATCGAAACGAATGTGAAGTTCATTTGAGGGAAAAACAGTTCCTAAATCACATCGTTCGTCGTCTGCGGATGAGAAATTCGACGCTTGTAAAGATCCAATCATGACTAGCTCAGCAAAATCCAGTTCAGAATCTACTAGTGGTTCTATATCATCGTCAGCGGCCGGAACGACGACTCCAATCATTCAACAATTGGATAAACGTCTTTGGCGTTCAATAGATTTTTTGCATTTAATCAGTATGATATTTGCCTTATATACGGCGATTATTGTTGCCATATTACGAAATGAATTATTTGAACAGTAAGCTCACATATTCAAGGTTTCATTATAAATCTCTTTATTCACGTATGGATGTATACTTTTGCTTCGTTAGATGTCCATTGTATGCTAAACTTTATCTTCGCGATAATGCAACATATTTCTCCACCGAGACAATCGACCGACAAACCGTATGGGGTAGTGTTTATACATGTGAATTTGCCTCGTTTGCATATCTATCTGCATTTGTTCTTTCATTTATTTCACTTTGGCTTCACATTGTTTTTCGACGACTTATTCGAACTGACCGTTTGCTTCGTTTACCGATAGGAATAGTAATATTAATATTTACTCTTGTGACAATTTCAGCAACTATCGTCGTTACTGATGGTGTTATCAAGTTTTGTTTAAATAGTCAAAATGTTATCTGTTCGTCAGAAGGTGAGGATTTGTTTGCTCGATCACGATGGAAAATCTTCACTTTACCCGCTGGTAAGACTAACATCTTTGATTGAGAAGAGAAAGGTTTGACTACGTTAAGGTGGTTGGCTAACATCAATATCGATCTTATTAAATACAATCGCTCGTCTGTTTCAACTTTTTGCTAAACCGAAAAAGTCAGCCGAAACATTGAAAGCTCTTGTTCAACAATTGATGACAAAAAAATATCAACATAAAGCCGAGAAAGAATCCAGCGAGTATGGGTCACAGATCTCGCAGTCATCTCGAGAACAAATGCGCCCATCAACACCCACCCGTCGATATTCCTCTGATCAGATTCACAATCACGAACTTTATCCTTACTATCACCCTTCGATTCCTCAATATCGTCAAATCAAAAAACGATCCTGTTTTCAACGGTTGTGTTGTCCGTGCTTTCGTCGTCGCCGACGACAACGCTCGTTCCATGAAGTATACCGTCCGCCTTACGTCATCCCTGACGAATATTTCCATCGATTGAATCACTTGAGACAAAACGGTAGCGTTTCACCCAATCGTTGCCACCATCATTCAATGCGTCATCCTGTGGAGCAGCAAACTCAAACAGATCCAAGCTACCAACCTAAAAGTATTGAACCGGCAAATCAAACACCTTTTGTCGGACGACGTCGTAGTTCTGTTCGATTCGAAGATGAAACACCGCCGACACCAATTCCGATAATTAAAGAAAAAGTAGAACGAAAGCCAGAACCAGTCGCCGAAAATGACCTACAAAGAAACGTTTCTTTTCGAAACAATGAAGATGACCTTTGGACAACTGTCACTATCGATACCAAGCAATCTGTGCCAATCCAATCAAGTCATTTCAATCGATTATCATTAGAAAATCTGTCTCGTATTAATACATCGATATCAAATAATGACAATGGTGTCACTGCTATACAAATCAATAGTACACCTTGCACAGAATCAAAACAAGTAGAACCCAATGAGAAAGAAATACCAGCTCCACCGCCTTTGTTACTTCCATCTTTATCAGCGACAACATGTTCAATACGGAATCGACAAAAACCACAGATATGTTCGAAACCGTTACGAACTCGGTACAAATCGCCACCAGTGCCCCCCTCACGAACTCTAACTACGTCGAGTGAAGATGATACAGATCTACGAAATATAAAGCCTGTTGAAGAAATCAATCGACTAGTAGCTGATAAATACAATTATAACGATATATCCAAAGCATTGAAATCGAACGTAGAACGCTTGAAGAGCACATTTCTTGCTCAAGAAAATCAATCTCATTATGATAAACCCAGACATATTCGTTCGAATGCGATACAGAAAACGCGCGAACATTCGAGTGATTGTTAATAATTGTAAATTTAGATTTCTCATGTCGAATATGCCTTTTCAATAAATGCTATCCCTTAGATATTCATGTCAATTTGTTGTCTTATCAATGCATAAAGCTCGAATGTCAGTTGTCATTACAGTATTTGCATGTTTATATAACTCCCTCTCTCTTAATGTACATCATTTGGTGACTGTAATTCGAATATCTTCATCGTCCGCCTCCTGTTCCTCTTTCTTTGTTTATAAGACTAATCTTTTTTGTTCTTAAAGCCAGATGTGTTTAAGGTCGTATTAGCGGTTTTAATATGTATATCTATATATAGTGTCATTTGTGATTTGTTCGTTATAAAGAAATAGTTTTTAGTTACAGGAATGGATCGAGGCTATTAGCCAGACTAAATAATGTGACTTTCTTCAGCGATTACTTGCCTACGAAAGCATTGACTAGACGTTGATTTGATTCGCGTTCTCTTTGCGATACATTTTGTCATCGATTATTTGATTATTATCGCCACGCAACCGATGGCATGCATATGAAGACGATCTCTACTTACATCAATGTAACATTGACGATCGTGTGATAAGATCTCATTGTGAGACAGATCAAAAAAAAGAACGGAGACATCTCGGCAAGCATTTCTCTAGTTAGATTAAAATCAGTCTGTTGATGACATTGTCCAGAAGCAAAGAAAAGATTCAATGTCACAACAATATCACACATATATCTATTAATTATCTTATGGGTAACACAACTAGGCTTCTTCTTTTATCTGCACTATCCTCTTGCATTAAAAGGATGTACTCTTCAATACATCTCTACATACTAATTACAAGTCAAGGTACGCTCAATTCAGTTTGTGATTTTAAAGTGACAGAACTCAAAAAATAAAAAGTAATCTCCGTCGCCTTGACAAAACAATAAGCAAGTGATACAAAAGAGCAGAATTACATCTGCACAAGTGCGCTAATCAGGATAATATATATATATATGAGTTATTGATGATTATACGCTTGATTACACGTATGTATCTCACAGAATAACCCATCTTTTCTCTCATCATTTGGTCCCAAAAAGGATTAGAAGAAGATTAACATTGCCCCATTGTTTAGTCGATCTATGTTTCAATTGAGTTTTTTTTTGTCACCATTTCTTTTTCACTTAATCGCCGACTGCAGTCAATTCCCTGAAGAATCCTTTCTCTTCTCGTCCAATTACCAATTTCCAAATGTTTCCCATGATAGTTACGATCTATTTAACTCTGTGGGTTCGCTTTCTTGTCAAGTAGATGAAATCATCGTTTGTATAATGCCATCGTTCTTTGTAATTAGTCGAGATTGTTAATTGCTACGCCAGAATGTCTAATGAATGCGCTGAACCAAAGAGAAAGTTCAATCGATGTTGTTTCCTCTTCTTTGTTATATTTAGCATTGTCAATATAGAACTAATTATAAAAATATTTCCGAAGCTGAAGTCAAAAAACAAGTTTTTCTTACAGTTCAAGGCTTGTTACCATCGTCATTTCTTCTCTTCCGTCTATTTTCTCATTCAGATGAATCATTGAAGAACTTGCACTGATCTTCAGCTTGTTTCCCCTTTTCTTCTTTTTTCCGTTGAAATAAATGGTTATTGACACTAGGGTGAAGAAGACAGCGGGAGAGAAACATGAGAACGAAGAGATGGCGTCGTCATTAGAAGCTTTCGGACTTACTAATATTTCAAGCTCTATCGTTCCAGCTGTTGCTTGAAAGTCGACCTAAACCGAAGGCAAAGTGTTCAATTCTAATCAGTCTTTCATCTTCGATTTCCGATGAAATTTTAATCATTAAGCGAGAGAACAATGAATATATTAGACGCAATAGTTTGACTTGCTCATTTGTATCTCGCTAACAAGTATTGTTTTTCTCTTCGGATGTCCTTGAGTCCATAAAGATGAGGTTTTTTTTCATATATATGAAAACAACATTTTTTTTGTTAATTGAGAGAGAAATATAAGTAATAGTAGAGCTGTCATGAAGCAAAAAAAACTGGGTAACTAAATTACACGTTGTCGTGTCATACGATTTTTTTTTCTTTTTTAGCTTCAATGTATTTTCTAGACAGTTCGAAAGAGAAGAAGAAGAAACCAACCCGAAGACGATTAGAAGAGCAAGTTCTTCTTCTCTCATCGGCTTTTCTTCTCATCTTTCTCTTACTTGATGAGAAGATTTGTTGCGACATCACTTTGTCGTCTTAGTTCAACTAGTTGTTTATGTATAACGCTAAACAAAAAAGAAATTATCTCATCCAGCTGACGTGCCTCTCCAAGTTTGAATTAATCGATTTTTTTCTCTTCTGATTTTCAGTTTGTTTTCTTCATAATGCATGACGACTAATGTCGCTCAATTGTTCACTCGAAACCAATTTAATCGATTCCCGGACAGTTTCGATTAAATACATCGTAGGCGGATGGCTAACATTAATCTTTTGTGTGTCTGGTAAGGTCGACATTGTGCTTTCTCAAATTAATTTTTCAGCATTTTCCTTGCAGGTATTGTTACTAATATTTTTACAGTTGTCGTTCTGTTGCATCCACGTATGAGAAACAGCTCGACACATGTATATTT